ATGAACTAGCTGAAACATGCCCTTATCCTTCATGGTTCCCAAGCTAAACAGGCAGGAGGCCTTAGAGTGGGGAAGGGCACATGAGCCTCAGGAAGGAAAGAGGGCATGGAAGGAGGGAAGGAACACCGTGCCAGGCATGACATGTTGGCATAACATGAGACACAAAAATGCTCCCCTACAATGTACAGTAATTTTAATTGTTTTGCTCTGTTCATTGTCATGAACGGAACCCAAAGCTGCAAACATTGAATAAAGTGTTGCAATTTTCCAGTAGAGGTTGCTATGAGGCATAAACATCTGGACACTAAAACTGATAAACTTTTTTTTTCAGTTTGGCAGCTGCAAAACCGGTATGACTCAAGGTATTTATCAGTTTTAAATACTTCTGCTTATTCTAGACAAGAATACTTTTTTTCATAATGCTGGAGCTCTGTTTCTTTCTCAGAGACCAATAATTCTGGTGAAGTTCACGACAGTAGGCCCTGGATATGTTCCCTCTCTAATGGAAAAAGAGACAGCTTTTGTTTTCTTCTTTCTGGTATTTCCTGTGTATCTGAAGACTTTCTACTTTCATTACAGATGAAGGAAGAAAATACATCTCCTTCAGTATTTTTAACTTCAGAACTTTACAGGGACAACACACTCTGAAAATGAGAAATAGAAATTATTTTATTTCTTCTCTGTCCCATTTTAATTGATTTGTTCAATATTTAATAATATAGAAATAATATTTGTTGTGACTTGGAAGGTAACTCAAGGCTGGTTAAAGAGGCCAAGTTACGAGGGCCATATTGCTTTCTGAAACTCAGAGATCAATGGATGTCTCAAAGTAAGCACCCAGAAATGTCATGTTCTTAAAACTTTAGGAACTCTTGAAAATCCAGTGAGTAGCTTGCATCAGCCCAGGAAGTAATAAATATGAGCTTCACAAAGAAAATGTACAGTGGTAATGAATAAAAACCTCATGATGTCCTGGACTGCGTATAGAGGAATGACAGACGGGGGAGTCAAACTGTGCACAAAACTATTCTTTGTAAACAGTTCAGAAACAAACAGGAGTGCTCAAGGATGAAGAAATTCATAACCACAAAGCTGACACATAAATGAAACTGAGACCAGTGCTTATGTGGCAGCTCAATACAATCTTGCTGCATTTCCTCGTCAAAAAGCAAATCTCTGATTACTAAGGGCTTTCTAAGTCTCCAAGCTTAGGGAACAGACTTGTTCACTCAAAGCAGGAGTAAAAATGCAACCTCACTAAATTTGGTGGAAAAAACATAGCTGATCATACAAGAGAATTTCGCAATCACTCTCAGAGGTGTAACAATCACAATTAGCTCAATGATTGCACAAAATAACAAAAACAAAAAGGTGGAAACATATTAAGCATAAATCAATGAAAACGCAAGTGTAGGAGTGTATCAGCACTAAAACCACTGTTGTATTCTATTTAGCTGAGTGTCATCTAAGAAATATTCAAATCTGGAGAAGTATTCAAGAGAATTTATTTTAATCCTCAAGTCCTTTTCCAGAACGTGAAAGTGATCAGGAAGCATTCTTTAACTAGTTGGTCAAGGCAAAACTGTGAAGAATTCTGCAGGATATTGAAGGTAATAAACCCTTTATTAGAAGCTGTGTTTTCTTGAGGGCTATAAGTTATATAAGGTATGATCTTTCCTACTTTGAAGACCAGAAATACAACTACCTTCATATCAGTAGGTTCAATGGTACATCAAAAATAAAATTATAGACAAGGTGTTCATTCTTATCTAAAAACTGACATGAAAACAATTTCTATTCTCACAATGCAACATCTTCCCATAATTTTTTCCCATCCATAGCTGTGATCTGGGCTGCAGTAAAAAAATGCCAACACATTATTTCATTTCTTAACATCAAGGGACAACCTCCGGGATTATTTGCCTTCTTTAATGCATTTTCCAGAAAGGATATATTTTTGAAACTTGCTAATAAGAATTATTAAGATCTTTAAGATCTGCACAGGTTGATCAATGTATCACTAATGTATGTATTTTAATTTTTTTTAGTACAAAGAGGGGCCTTCATGGGAACAAAGATCAACTGCTTGTATTGTTTTTGAAACCCTTTTTGTCTGGCCAAATCATTTTTTTTTCCCTGTATCTTCTTCTTTTAGAAGTCTCTCTGTGCAGTCAGCACTAGGGAATTCTACAGATTACTGCAAAACCACAGCAAAAGTAAAAATGAAGGGCAGCACTATTACATCCTTTCCTTTGCTCTATTTTTGCACACTATTGCACAAAGAATTCAACAGAGATGCATTGCCACAATATTTAGCCTCCATAAATCAGGAACATTGGGTATTTTTTCAGTTTGGCTATACATGCTATCAGAAAGGCAAAGCAGTTGCTCTCTGAGCAGGGGGATTGTGGAACAAAGACTGTCTTCATTATGCTCCTCTCTGCAAACACGGAATCACCAAAATCACAGAGTCACAGAATGGGCAAGTTTCAAAGGGATCACAGTGGGTCATGTGGTCCAGCCTCCCTGTTCAAACAGGGTCATCCTAGAGCATATGGCACACGATTGTATCCAGATGTTTCTTGAATGTGTCAAGTGAGGGAGACTCCACACCCTCCCTGGGAAATCTGTTCCAGTGCTCAGTCATTCACAAGAAGTTCTTCCTCATCTTCAGGTGGAACTTCCTGTACAGCACTTTGTGCCCACTGCCTCTCATCCTGTTGCTTGGCACGGCTGAGCAGAGCCTGGGAACCTCCTCTAGGCACCTTCCCTTCAGGTACTGACAGAGTTTGATGAGGTTCCCTCCCAGTCCTCTCTCCTCGAGACTGAGCAGGCTCAGCTCCCTCAGCCTGTCAGGGCTCCATGCTGATCCCAAGCAAGCAGCAGCCCCTTCCCACCTGCTTGTTTGTATCCTCAGCTTTTGCCAAAATGAAAGGAAATATGTGTGCAATTTAATTCTGCTTTCAAACAATTTCTTTCTTTCGAACTGCCAGACTATGTAAACTGCTCAGTTGTATATGAAATATTCAGGAACTGAAATTTGTTTGTATCTGCATTGAATCTGTATTTTTCCAGAATTTCTTTGGCTTGCCTTTGCAACAGCTTTCCTAGAAGTGTCATTAGTAGCCCCTACCACCCCCTTAGAGCCATTTCCCTGAGAATTCCTGGAAATAAGTTTTCTTCTTTGTTGGCCTCCAACAGTAAACACTAGTTTATAAGCTGCCCAAACATCTAAAGTATTTTCTTAATATTCTGCATGGCCCATTGAAAGTTCTTTTTGCTTCAAAATGTAGTCAAAAATCTGACACATGTCAAACAGGTGAAAGAAGTGTTGACCAGCTTTGGGGATTATGGGGATTTTTAAATGAAACATAAATGCTTATCAGCACTAATCTGAAGTACACAGATGGTCACAACTCATACTTTGCAATTCTGCAGGGAGCACACAATCTAGAGCTTACATCTACCCTACAGATCTGTGAGCAGAATTTTGTCATTAAAAATGCATTGACTACAAATAAGTTCAGGTTTCATTGAATGTTTAAATATTTTAGGCCACCAGATAATCAAATAGTGGCATGTCTATAAGGATTGATATCAAATAAAGAACACCAAAAAATCAAGGCATCCTTGGCAGACATTTGGTGTATTTGGTGTATTTTGTGAAGAAATAAAAAATTATTTAAAATATACGTTTTAAAAAAAGATAAAATTTTTTGTTTAAAGGACAGAAAGGAATCTTTTAAATGAAGACATGGGCATCAAGTTAAATTTGTCGTAGAGACAATGCCAGAAACAGACAGATGCAAGATCAATTCAAGATATCATTATTTTTAAATACAATTCAGATAAACCTTTTAATCACTTCTCCAAATTTCTACTTCTTCTTTTTCTGCCTGACACATGCCTTTCGTTATTGAACATGAAACTGCAAAACATGTTTTTGATACTCAAATCTGAACACTTAGAAAAAAAGCATAAAGAATTAATAGCTTTGATTCTCCTTCCTCAGTTCAACCCAGAATTAGTCTCTTGCAGACTAAAAGACATGTGGATGCAATCAGGACCGCTCTTTGAAATGCCATTTGTTTGTATTTCATTTCACTGATAATAAGCCAGGCAGTCTAAGGAACTGTGTAATTTCCATTTGTGGGCACTACAATTTGCCATGCAGCTTCCAGTGCAGATTCAGTGATCAGGAAGCCAGCCTAGACGTCTAGCTTCACTTCTGTGACAGATGTCTTGCATGATGAGAAACACAGCTCCAGCTTTCCCAGTTGTGTCAAAAGGCTTTGCTCCAGGTCCTATGGCAAAAGCCATTTCTACTTATCAGGACAGTTGAGATACCATGGAAAAGGAGGATCGCCACAGTCCGCTCTTTCCTCCTCAGTTAGTAAGTAACTCTCCAGGCCCACTGCTGCTCTCTCCCAAATCACTCTTATGACCCTCTGCAGGTAAAGCTCCATCACTGTGGCCAGAGCTTGTGTGGACACAGATGAGCTCCCCAGGAGGGAGGAGCCCTCTCCTGCAGTCCCAGAAGGATGGAACTCGGCAGACTCCACACCCCACTTCCTTAGGCGAGCTGTTTGCTCATGTCAGGGCGGCCACAGCGCTCACAGCACACCAGCACTCAGAGCCTGGGCAGCTCTATGCACTCTCTGCAGTTTGAGCAGCTCCTCAGGTGGAAAGTCTCTCTCCCTGCAGCAGCCATCCACCAGAAATCCCCCAAAAGACAGCAATTAATCCTCACATTCGATCTCATTTTCCTCACAAAAAGCCTTGCAGACTGAATTTCCTAACAGTTATTCATACCTCAGACAGAGCAGGCATCTCCTGCTTTCATCCCCCTGCTTCTAGCCACCACAGCCCAAATACCTATTAAACTATGCTCATTCTAACTGATTTTTGATATCTGGCATTTCCAGATTATTGAGTAAAGAACACAAATACAATACAAATATGTCAGTCCCAAAATGCCTTTCAAAAAATGAATAGACACATACATTTTCAGTAGTTTTATTGAAAAATGCCTCTTTCATTTCAGAAATAAATAATATAAGGCAGTGAAATTCACAATTTGCAGTTAAAATATAAAAGCAGCAATTCTATATCCATAGTCTTGCAAACAATTTCCAACTGCTTTTGGTAACTAAGAAACATTGTATTCTGAAAAAAAAATCCATACTAAATATACAACATAAACATGCAATTCCATCTCTGCAGGATTTACTGCAATTTGGCATAAATGTAACTGTGTCTACAAACAAGGAGATTTCAGGCATTATTAAACTGTATCCAGTTGATACAATGATTTCAGCTACTTAATGTTTGTGGTGTTTAGAGGAGATGTATAAGAGCAGTATATGCTCCACAGATTGTAATTCAGAATAGAAGAAAATTACAATGATACTGGAAGGAGAGGGAAATTTTTGGTTCTTTTTAACTAGATATTGCAGACCTGTGATCTGACTGAACTGAAAACATGCATTTGAAAAAGAAGAAAAATGTAGAGCTAAAGCAGACAGTCCTTAGAAAATTTGCAACAGCTCTGTGGTTATTTTTGTTCTGGTTTTTGGTTTTCTTTTTTTTTAATGTATTTGTTTTTACATTATTTTAATGAAAAGGCAGCACTGGGATAACTGAATGCACACCTTAATCTGTATGCAACCACTATAAGCAACAGTATTTTACAAGCATTTCCAGAGCAACATGAAGTGTTTGGGTACACACATTGCTATCCCCACATAAGCAAGATACAAAACAGGGGTGCGTCTGACATGAAAAGGCCAGAAAGCCACATTGCAAAAGGATTGATGCACTCTCCCTGTGTGTATCTGCAAATGCAAGCACAGCAAAAGAAAAAACAAAAAAACCCCACCAACCAAAAAAACCCAAATCAAGACACACAGATCTTTTACGGATTTGTTTTTGCATTTCTTGATAGTGATCTTTTCCAGCGCATGTGCTCAGGGTATTCTGGTGAATGCATTTCAACTCCATAGTCCTCATACTCGTCCTCTCTCCTTTCTGACTCCATAGGTACTATAAAGGGTTCACCTTCAGGCTGATAGGGTCCACTTTCAGGCACGTATGGTTCTGGTTGAAAATAGTTGTCCGATTGAACATAATAGTTATCGCATGTCTTTGAATCCACATATGCAATGAACGTTAGTCTGGCTACATAATGTTAGTTCAACCTTATTTTCATATAATAAATATATAAATAATTAGTTCACTGGGGGTATTTCTCAGTTTTGCTCATGAATGCTTTTTTGGCAGTAAAATAATAAAAGGCTTTAAATTCATCTTGAAAGGCTTTGTATTTATAATACACAAAACAGTGCAGAAAGAGTCATAAATTAGGCAAGGGACAAATCATGGTAAAGCTATTTAAAAAAAACAAACAAAACCAAGAAAATCAAATAAAATTACTATTTTACAGCTACTTCAGTAAATCTAAGCATTGGGCTTTATTTTAAACTGCATAATTAATAGAAGACATGGAGCAGGTAAGGTGAAGAGATGGGTTTGGTGTATGCTAATTTTCTGTGAGAATGGGAAAGTAAGTGTAGACATAACTATCACCAGCGGCAATATACAGTACATGTCATTTTGTCGTGCTGTTCCTCGTAACAAACCGAGTTACAGCTGGTGCTTCAGGAACACCAAAAACTACAGCAAAACAGAAGAAAAATTATTATAAAACTTTGGTATTTATAACTGCAGTTACAGATCCAACAAGATTACACATAAAAAAAGGTATATGCCCCAATTCAGACATGTTGGTAACAAGCAACAGACAGGTAGGTTTCATAAGTTGTCAAAGATGTTATTCTGGCATACAGCAAGCAGCAGCAGGCTTTTATGCAAAAGTATCACATAGAGTTGTTAACAGATTTTAGTGGATACAGTCCCATACAAATCATCTACAAGCCACAATTAGTTTACTATTTACATAAGCTATTTCTCATTTTCCAGGTTAAATCTGTCTCTCTTCTAATGGCATTACCTTCGCTGGTTAGTAGTTTTACAAGCCTCCTTCGCCACTGAGGTTTTTGGTGGTCTAGGTCTTTTTTAAAAAAGAAAGACTGTCTATTTTATTATTGAAATGCAATGGGCTTAATGAATTGATGTAACTGTCCTTTATCTCATTCATGAGTTGTGTTAGTAAAAGTATCTCCCCGTTCTATGAGGTCAACATGGTTCAAGAACCATATCCGTGGTGAAATATCCATACGGACTCATTTTCTAATAAGCACGTGCGCAAACATCTCAGAAACAGGATTTTCATGTATTCAAACTGTAAGCAGCACTGGCGACTTAGAAAATGTGTTAGCCGAAACCTGAAACAGGTCAAAGATGATGTTAGTCTTTTAAAAAGTCCATCTGATGTGCAAAAACATACTTTCATCCAACTAAATACATAACAGTTAAGTCTTAGGCATATATTTATATATGTATACAAAGCTGCTTGCTAGAAAGAACACTGCTGAATCACACGCACAATTTTCTTTATTTTTCACTTAAATAAGAATTTTTTTGTGAGATCTGCACAACGACCTGGCTCTTTAACCAGTATCACTGAGTCTGCAAGTGTGTACATATATATATATATATTTTCTTTTCTTCTTTTCATGGATACATGCACAATTACACTAACAGCAAACCACATCCAATAGTAGTATCACATACACTAATTTTGAGATCTGGCAAGGCATACATATTAATTTGTTACCAATACTGTGGTCCTGCAGGATCCCCATGTTAAAATATATTAGAATCTTTCCAGTCAAAAATTGGTGGTCACTGGGACCCCTCATTTTGGTTCCAGAAGCAGCCTACTGCTTTGAGCAAAGTCACAAAGTGGAAGGCTTATATGACTCAGGGCTAATCAGAGACTCCATGGCATTTAACTTGGTAGATATTGTAGGACAGTGGTGCTTTTCAGTTGTCTGCACTGTTATTAGCAAATGGATTTCCTTTGTGGAAATTTTTTATTTCAGGTATCAATTTTCTATAAATCCTGACATGGCTCAAAAAGAGACACATGGAAACTGCCAACCACAGCATTCCTTTTATTTTTCAAGAGAAACATGGAGAATTCAACCTTGTTCTGAAGACGATTGGAAGGGGTGGTGATAGAGGGGGAAAAAAGAAGAGAAGAAATTGGTCACTTAAATCCTATGAGCAACACCACCAGCTAATAACCATCTAAATTAAATAAAATAAAAAAAACAAGACTACAATATTTACTCAGTACTTCCTATTTAGAACAAATCATGCATAACATCAAGCAATCCTAGAGCAAAGTGCAAATGGCTGCTCATATACTCGAACATTACAATGAGGCAGGCCTGCTCACTGACCCATCTCCTCCTGACTCATCATGTTCAGATTAGCAGGACTGTCTCATGTAAAGCAGCTCAATATGAACAGCCACACCTGTGAAGGCTATTTAGGGCAAGGTTAAGGTTAAGTTGTTCATAACCTACCTGGGAATCCTTGGCCATTGTAAGGGATGCTAGCACACTGGGATGAATCACAATATCCTGGTGGCCCTGGGGGACCCCGAATGCCCGCATTTCCAGGACGGCCTGGGGGCCCTGGTGGTCCTCGTGATCCTGTGGAGCCTGGTGGACCAGTTCTAGATTCTCCTTGTGGACCTAATTTTAGAATTGAGAGGTTGAGAGGTTGTTTGTTTTTTTTAAGAGACATCTTGATAAAATAGCTAACAATACTTCTGTTTAGACTATACAGCCCAGGTTGTCTTCGGTGAGAAAGCACTCGCAACTCTGTTGCTATATGGGGATCAACAGAAAGAAATACAAAAGAAATCTAGAAATGTGACTCATCATGAGTTGCCTCCCTGTGTGTGGCTTATTTAAGTATTTATTCTTAGAAACTAATTTAGTAAGGTTTGAGCCAAGTAAGAAATGTCAACGTATTCTCTGGTTAATTTCCCCTTTGTGTAAGATATGATCATCTCAAGGGAAACTACTAGATTAGACAAGCACACTGGATTTCTATTAAAATATAGGAGTACATCAATTATACTGCCCAGTAGCCCCAGGATAGATGAGGTAATGTTGTTTTTGGAACAAATCTTATTATGGTTAGCAGAAAAGTAAAGCTTCAAATAACTGGGGCTACAATTTGCTGCAAGCATATTATGATTCCTGTAATGAAAAGCCATTTTAGCCTAGTAAACTACAAGCAGAAACAAATGATGCAGCTGATTTATGCTAAGGCGTAAACAAAATTTTGTAACATGAAAACCAAAACTTATAATCAAATAATATGTCTCTATTGTCCAGTAACTCTGCATTTGGGAGTATTTTATAGTCCAGCAAGTAAAAGAAAAAACCTACATACTACAAAAGAATCGTCTGACAAGACTTATGAAAATTATCTGTCAAATATTTGGACAATGCATTTTCATGAAACACATTTTCACATTAACAAACATGCCAGATGACTAAATTAAAAGATGAAGATAAACACCTATTAGCCATGTCCAAAAATCTTTCTAAATTGCTATTTTTGTGGTGATTTCCTACAGATTTATTAGAGTAAACGCTAATATATGTCAAAAACTTGAAGTGGGCAAAGGGTGTTCATTCACTATATCAAGTCTAGTTCTCTATGAAGAAATATTTGCTTTTCTCCTACTTTTCTGTAATCTGATCAAACAAAAAAAAATTACCAGGTGGTCCTGGCAAACCTCGTGGTCCTTGGGATCCAGTCCCTCTTTCACCTTTCTCTCCAGGGATTCCTACAGAATAATACAAAGGCAATGAAAATCAAAGAAAGGAAACCGCATCAACAGATATTTCTTCACACTCTCTCACTGACATTAATATTTACTTTCCATGATTTAATACAACAAAAGTGGTTAAAATGGATGTTTTGCAGATGTTCAAATGTTAATTTGCAAAAATAATTTGGATATAAATATAGTAACCCAAGAATAAAATAGGATGTAGATGTAACATAACATGAATAGACTCTCTCAAACATAGAAAAGTTTTGAGATACTGAAGCACCACAGAATCTTCTTATTTTAAACTAGAATCAGAAAGGCCTTTTCAGTCTTGCATACTTCTGCTATAAAGGATGGTTTACACTCTCTTAGGAACAGTTACAATCAAAAACGTTTAAGAAATTCTTCTGAATTCCTTGATTTATTCCTAGCCTTTTTAAAAGAGTGTATAAAATATATCCTAGAAAACATAGCACGGAGTCTATGCTATAGTAGAGTAGTGGAAATAAGAAAAGGCCACAAAAAAGTAGACTACAGACACCCCATGTGATTGCAGTGATCCAAGATAGATGTAAAGTAGGTTTACCCATATGCTTACTTTCAGTTCAGTTGCTTCCCTCCCTCAGAATATTGTAAAGAGCTAAGGATGTTGATCTAATTCTTTAAATTCCTACATTTATATTTGTTAATAACTCATTTGCTCTCTTAATCAGTGTTCTACTTTGCAAAGAGTTGTCTTACTCCAAACAGCCTTTCAAGATGTAGCTCTATAGTGCCAAAACAGATCTGAGAACATTTGCTCTCCTGAGATTTTATGTGGAAGTCTCAGACAGCAGCCAAAATGTTATACCAATTTGTATTTCATGAAACTTCAGCAAGAGAGAGACAGGAAAGCACTGATCTACTTAACCTTGTCCTTCAGTACCCCAGTGTTCCTCAGGCAATCCAATTGGCCTAGCAGAGCTTCCTAGTCTGACATGGTAAAAGGAGCAGACTGCTCCTCTGGCAACCTCTGCACTACATCCACAGCACAGCTGCCTTGGAATTTATTCACCTCTTTCACCAGGTGGTCCTTGAACCCCAGGAGGTCCTGGGAATCCTGGTCTTCCTCCAGGTCCAGGTTCTCCTCTTGTCCCAGCAGCTCCTGGGGGACCAGGTGGACCTGGTGGCCCTGGCTGGTTTCGGTTTGAATAATAATCATTCGGGATTTGATTCAGCATTTGATTGAACCGGCTCATTTGACCTTCAAAAGAAAATAAAAATGTGAAATGAGTGAAAATCTTTTATCAGAGTGGGAAGGAATAAAATATTATCTCTCTTAATTAAATTCTATTCTTGTTTCTATTCAATAAATTAGTACAGATTAATTAGAAAGACTTAAGATGAATGTCCGATAAGAAAGCTGAACATAAATGGAGAAGGGAGAGGGTTAGGGAGGAAAGGTAAGGGAGCTTCTGGAACCCAATGGCATTAAAACAATTATCACAGAACTATTAAAATCAACAAAGAGGCAAGTTTTTACAATACTCTTGCCCTTGGAGTTCTATTTAGAAGTTGTTTTTACTCTGACAAACAGAAAGGATTTGCTCCACTTCTAAAGCTGAAGTATCAAATTTCTCTGTACTTTCAGACCTCTGCAGCTACCACAGGCAATATAAATTATTCATGTGTAGAGTTAGCAGCACAATCCATGAAGTAAATTTCTTAAGCCTGTAGGATGCACAGGCTTGTACTTATACACCTTCTGCATATGGTCAAATTTCATTTCCAAAAAAATGGTTTGTGAACAAAAGCAACACCATTTTGAAGCTATGCAGGAAGGAAGCATAATGGAAAGACACATCTGATTAGTATAATGTGTCAGTCCTAGCATAACACTGAAGAAAGAGATCAGCTGAACACGAAAAAAATAAGTCAGGGATGCACTAAGAAATGTTAAAAGATCTTGGACATGACATCCTTATTCAGAAACCTAACACATTCACACATGTACTTTACTTCTTCTGTGATGGCTAACTATTAGAAATGTTTTTATAAGCAGCCATCACAGACATTTCAAAGGACATACTGTCCTCCTCCCTGTACACAAGCACTCTTAATGATCCAAAAGGGATACCTGTTTTCCTCTGTCAGCACTTAACATTGTAATAGATACAATATTAAAAACCAGTTTGCCTTTGTCTTTCTTGGCAGGTCTAGTGATAGCAAAAGCACTGATTCAAGATCAGAGAGAAAGCCTCTGTAGAGAGCAACTTCATGGGCTGCAGAGCTGCACTATGTGGCAGTAGAGGACTGAAATTAAATTTGAAGTCATTTTCCAAATAAATACTGTTTCTACTTGCATAGCACCACTGATTCTGTGCACAGTGTTTAACCAGCACTCATTTGTCTTCCCCGGCTGGCAAAGTACCTGCAGCAAGCATCCTTTTTCTCACTGAAGATCCTTTTTCTTCTCTTGAAGATAAGACATGTTTAATGAGAAAATATATGCTGATTTTATTGTAAAGATGAAGTAATTTTGGAAAAAAATTACAAAGGAAACTTCAGCAGAATGTTTAAATTGCATGTGTATTTCCAAAGGTCACAGATTAGCTCCAACTCAGTTTATTCTGTTATTCTGTGATTATCAAGCTAGCGTCTGGAACTAGCAAAAAATTGCTGCCACATTTTTTCCACCAAAACATTTGCATTGGACAGCTATCAGCTTGTCAAGATCTTGCTGTGCTCTGTGGCCAATATTTGTCACTTTAAATTTAAACCATTGTTTTATCTTTTTAAGAAAGTAGTTAATTACTTGTATGGGATACAAAGCAAGCAACACTGTTTACCATTTATAAGTTGTTCACAAACTTGTCTTGCAACTGCTCGCATCATGTTCTGAGAAGCAATATCACCCTAAATAATCAAATCCAAAACAAGTGTTTCATTAGCACTTTGTACTTTTAAACACATAGTGTTTAATTTTAAAATTATGAGAAGAATTGACTTTTAAGCAGACTTACTCTGTCACCTTTTTCTCCCTTCATTCCAGGTGCACCCTAAAATAAATAAGTAAAAATTAAGCAACTGATTATGTTATTTTGCCCCAACTATAAGTTTGAGATGTGTAATTCTAGAAAAAGTTTTGACTCCTTCAAGAAGAAATGTCTGGTTCTCATTGAACTTCTCATTTCAGAGATGCTAAAACAGATGCCAGAAAAGAGTGGAGAAATGATGATATTTTGTCTGTCATCAAACACACTAATAGATGCAGAAGAAAATGATCTGAAGGAAAAATTCAAACTAGGACCAAAAATGGATCACACTGTCAATTTCAAAGTTGAATTTCTAGCATCATATTTGTTTAAATGATCAATGGTCTTATATGAGTCATATATGACTGTTTAATTTTAAGACAATTTATTATAGAAGGTATGTTAGGAAGAATAACATATGTCAAGAAAAGGTAGTTTTCTTCTTGAATCCATATAAAAAGTATTCTATATTAAGAGAAATTCAGTTATGACAAGATGACACATAACATGGAGAGAGTGCTTATTCTATCTATACTGACAGCTTTCCTCTTAATTCTCAACCATTTCTAGTCTTTAAAATGTCTCATAGAAGTCTTAGTTTGAGCTCCTTTATAATTAATTACATTTGTCAGTCTAGCAGCACTTCCCATTTGCCTTTGAATACTTTAGTGGTTGTGGTGTTTTCAGTTTTCAAGAGTGCTATGAAAGAAGCAAACCAGAAGGACTGATTCTAATTTTTATATATGTATGTGTGTGTGAAAAACACTGGGAATAATGATAGGGCTTGCATGAGTTCACGTGGATTTTGATTTCTAGGCTAAATTGCTACTTGAACATAAGGCATATTTGAAAGGTGAAAGATCAGTTTGGTCATCTGCTGCTCTGCATGGCTCTCTACATACTAACACACACATCATGAGTGTTACTGCTTTTTGCAGTGTAGTATTTCTTTAAGGAATCTATTTCTCACCATTAACAAAGCAAAGACCAAGTGTGGGCTGCAGCTGTTTCTCATAACATTCCTACAGTACCCACAATTAATTTCAACAACACAGAGCACCAAATCATTCCACTGAGGTCACAGCAGACACCTCTCGAATGTGGTGACACTGTTTCACACACTTCTGTGAGGCCTTGGGCAGACAAACACCCTTGGAGTATGTCAGGGTGTGAGCTTAGTGTGGTCCCTGAGCTTCTCTGCTGCAGAGTTGCACACACCTACCCCATGACATGCCACAGAAAATATGAGACAGCTCATCCATCACTGAGTTAAGTAGTTGTCGTACGGTACATTTGCATCATGAATAACAGATCGTTCTTGCAAAATTAATTGTACAGACTCAAATGAAAGATTTAGAATGGTGACACCATAAATGTGCCATTGGAATAAATTATGCCACCAATGAGGCAGCTGCTAATATGGATAAAATATACCCATGAAGCTGATGAATATCCTTTCCCTTCTGTCCTTTGCTTTTCATCTATATTTTTCTTACTCTGTGAAGTCCATGGGGAAATGTTTGTCTTTTAGTTTTAGCTTATTACAGCCATATGCTGAAACAGACTATGGACTTGTAAATGCCATACCATAAATAAATGGTAACAAGTAAAACCATCAGGAAAATATGACATTTCTGTCTGTCATTCTCCAATAATTAACATTGTGGTAAATGATGATGTACTGAAATTCTAAAAAAACCTTAATTTGATTCCCAAATAAATTGACATATCTCATTCATAAACTATTGCATGTACCTGAAATATTCATTGAACAGAACTGTAGGTTTTTAATTGCACTAGTCTATTACAGAAAAATATGGGGGAGGGGGTAGATGGTAAAGAAAGTACTAATGCTTCTCTTTCTGTTTGAAACTTTCCAATTTTTCTATTTCCTACAAGTGTACTCATTTGAAATTATCTACTGTATATGTATTTATAATTCATTCTTGTTTTATTCTCATTCTTTCTATGGCTTTCACAGTAAGACCTTCTACCAGAAGCAAATCATACAGTACATCTTTTGTGTATTCACAAGGTAAGGGAAGAGGGAGAGGGATGAGGTGAGGCAAGACAAGGCGACAAGGTCCCCCAACAAGGAAAATGCTAATGCCATGTATGGCCAATTCTAAAATACATTGAAATAAAATGAAACTCATTCCTCAATTTGTGACGTTGCAAGCACACACTGATTCAGCCTTGTGGCTGGAAGTCTAGAGCCTATTTGGAACTACCTTTAAAATTGGAAGATTAGAGACTGACTGGCCATCTTAACAGTAAAGTATATTTTCCACCTGGATATTTTAGAATCAAATTTTCAAAAATATAATTACAACTTCAGTTACTGCATTACTATTTGCATCTTCCTCCCTCTTGGCTATATGCCTCTTAAATTTCTTTTAATAGACAAAAAAGTGCAGTTTAGCCTACTGCTTGACAGCATTTTGAGAAACAGCAGCTGCTGCTGGCATTCTGGTTTTTTGCTGTCCTGCAGTGAAGGAGTCACTTGGGGTCAGTGCAAGGAGAAGCTGGTTTATGCTGCATGTGGGATTTTTTCTGAGCTGTGGGATGAAGGCTGGGGCCGCAGCATAGTTCTACTGCTGAAGAGGACAAAACAAAGGAAGTTTTGCTATTTTTACTTTTAAAGATAATGTGCTCAATTGTTTTTCCCAAAAGAATGTTCGCTTCCCTCAAGAACCACCAGTTCATTGCTCCCAAAGCAGTGCCTTTTTGAGACTTCATCTAGGACATCTGCATAGATGGATGCAAGAGCAGGGAACACATGGCAGCAGAGAATGTAAAATTCTCAAAACCTGCATGTAACTCACAACAGACTTGGGCTACTCTCGAAAGCTTTTCACAGTTTATCTGGTCCTGGAGGCATCAGTTCAATAGCACCTTACTTATTAAATTTAAATGCCTTGCATTTTTTCTCAGGAACTGTCTAAATCAACAAAATCAGACCCTGTTGTCAGAGAGTCTGTTTTATAAACAGGATACCTCTACCTTAATACAAATTACTCTGTCTACCCATCGTTACTGTTTCCATTCTCGCACCTATAAAACAAGAACTGGAACTTTTCCTTTCTTATAGTCCAGCATCTTTTATTTCCCATTATATTTATTCACAGAAAACATATCCATTATTTCTTGAAACAATATCCTCTTCTAGTTTACTAAGTCTTTCTTACTGTTGATGGTTGTTACCTTATGATATGTGTATGAACCACTATGGAATTCTCACTCTCTGACCAGACAGACAGCAGACATTTTAGTCTCCTCAAGGATAGTATGCATACAGTTCTCAATAAATTACCAACTTGTTTGTGTTCTTACGGTTCCTTTTTCTGTCATTTTGTTGCTACACTGGAAAAAACAACTAAGTTTCTCTTGGAGGCACTTGTAAGCAGACCAAAAAGCCAAATTTCCTACTTCCATGAAAATTCAGTTAACACTTCTAGGATTTACTTGTTCTAGTATAAGTACACAGTGAGGTAGTGAAATGTTTACAGTGTGGTCTGCCTCAGCTTAGCACATTAGTGGTATTGAATACATCAGGAAGGAGCTCCAGCTGACCACATTCACAGGGAGTAACTTCAGAACACCAAGGCTGCTCATAATTTGCAGGTAACTGTATACCTTTTACCTGGAATGCAATATAACCCTTGGCTTGCAGGGGTCTTTCTCCTCACTTTCATTTAATAGTACTAGCAATACAGATTGATCAGGGAGAAGAAAATCTGGCAGGATCTGGTGAAAAATTATTTATTCCTTGTATTTACTAGAGGCAAAGTGAAGCCTCATTATCTTTCTCTTCAGGCAAAATTATGATTCATGACAGTGCAAGTTGCATTTGGCTGTCAGGCTGCACCTTTGGCAGCTGTAATACTGCAAACAAAGGAAGGCCTTGAAATTCTGTCCACCAGGAATCTGATAAAACATCTGTACAAGGTACAAGCCAGAATTCCTGCTGGGATCTGTTCTAGAAACATTAGAAATGGTAAATACGATGCACAGTGTCCCATTACAGGAAAGTGCAATAAGTGCAGGGGAAAACATTTATTTTTAATTGAAAGGAACTCTTAAGAATTAGAGTGCAGGAGAATTTAGACATGGTGCATGGACAGGAGTTGGCTGCCTTGCTTTGCAAAAGTCTTTAAACTGGGCTTGTAGCCAGAATTCCTTCTAAACACATGATTTACCTGCAGAAGATCTTTACTTCTGAACTGGGTACTTACCAGCTATCCATTGTCCCAGGTGAAGGAAAAATCAGATACACCTGACAATTTAAAGCTCCCTTGCGAGCAAAGCACAGCACTTTGTGCTCCAGCCATGTCTATTCAACATGTAACTGAGCACAAATATCCCACTAAAATGTATATCTAAAGGCAGGAAAGCTTCAAGACTTTCCTAAGACACTCCATGTCCTCTACTCCAAGGAGAAATAGAATTTATAGTCTGGCAAACACAGACTGAATTCAACGTGTGTATGAGAAAATGACCCAGCTTCCAAGTACTCCTGGAGCTTCCGCTTCATGGCCATCAAGTTTCCCAGCCTACTACATATTCTTTCAAATTATCCAGCTTTTTTATGTACAACTACACTAGGCAGGATAGAAAATTCTAGATGACTGTGATACATTTTCCACAAGTAACGAATGACTTCTCATTTCACTTGATGTCTTACTCAAGGTATAATTTCTCTGAGATACCATGAATGACTCAAATTAAATTTCCCCTGAAACTGTTGGTGGGAGGCAGCACCTCCTGCTCTTTCTCCCTGTTCAGGAAGCAGTTTAAAAGTTGAATAGAACCCACAGAAACCACTCCTAAATAACTGTGAAATAACATTGTAAAAATAATGAAACATTTTCAAAACAGAACTGATTATGTAATATTATCAAAGGTTATCCACCTTCAGCAGTTTATCACTTTTTTACTACACACGCATGCAGTAGTGTAAAGACTTTACAATCATTTTGCTGACCTAGTTTTCCATGCTTATGCAGTGTAGAAATTAATATATGTCTTGGCACATAATAGCCTACGATCTTTTTAGTGGAAACCAGAGACCACAATTTCCAGCCCCAACTATTAAACTCAGCAAAATGGCATACTGTAAAAATAAAATTATTTTTAAAAAAAGACTTGTGGGTTTAGGTCAGCTCCACTGTATTAACCACCATCATAAGTGCAAAACAACTATTTCAAGCAGCAGAAGTCTCATGTTCATCAACAGACTGTAATTTTAAATTTGATACTCTAAGTGTATCATTATCTTACTGGTGTCCCACGATCTCCTGGTTTCCCTGGTTTTCCACTTGGGCCAGCAACTCCTGGAACTCCGGGAGCACCCTGCAACAGAAGAGAAGTACAATGAATTGTGGAAATACACAATTACCTAAGCCCTAATAAGAAACATGTTATTGTATTGAGTACAAAGCAATATTGAAAGTAGTTCCTATCAAGTTGTTTTCTGTTAGGTACATATCAGGCTTGAAAAATTTTTTATGGAATAAACAGTTTGTTTGGAAATGTGTTCTTTTATGCAACACCACAGTTTAACAGGCATTGTGGCACTGAAAGATGCAGAGGGTGAGTATATGTTTCTTGGTATCATTCTTAATGACCAATTCCTAAAACAGTACAAAATAGTTGGGCCTTCTAAGTTCACCTAGCAGATCTGTGATCCATGTTAAAATCCACAACAAGCAGACCAAAAGCCATTCTAGTGATCCCAGATAAATACAAAAAAATTAAAATAACAGTATCAGATTATGTGACAAAAGCTCATCTGCACATTCACAAAGGAACATGAGGAAGACAGTTGTGGGGACGTGGGGCCAGCCCAAATAATACTCTGTCTTAGAGACTGCTCTCTATAAATGTAATGCAAATATGTGTTCTGTGTGCATCTGCCTTTTGGAAATGCAGCTTCCAACTTGCTATAGGTTAGACCTGATGACATGGGGCTGCAGCAAATTGCCTATCTTGGGCTGTATGATCCACCATAGGCTTTTCTCTAACAGCCAGCCTCGTTTCTAGCATGGTCCCACAAAACACAGTGAAGCAGCTCTGAAAGCAAAAGCTAATCTTCAAATGCTCTTGTCAAGAAAAACTTGTATTAACAGTGTTTGTTTTCCCCAGTGTACAAGTGATAAGCCAACTGGTTTCAGGAGACCTAGCTATGCATTTAAAGATCATAACTAAAGAACCAGATAAACTGGTTCCCTTATTTACTCTGGCAGAAATCAGTTTCAAAACCACTGTTATGAACATTTGTGAATATATGCTTTGCCCAGCTCTCTGCTCACCTTCTACCAAGAGCTTTTCAGACCCATTTAGGAGATTGAGCAAAGGATCCATTACATATTTGACAGAAATTGAAAATGTCAATATGGCTCTCTCTTGGCTCAGGTCTCTTAATTCAGAGTATATCAAAGACAAAATTATATTTACCGCTGGTCCTGGTGGGCCTCTGGGACCTGTGGGACCATCTTTTCCTGTGAAACCCTATTCAAAAACAAAAGTAAGATTAGAGAAATCTTACTTTGATTTTTACAATTATATAATTGTATATATATGGTTACTACTGTAATTTCTTTTAAAACCTATCCACAATACAAGTTAGAAAATAGCTATCACAAATCATGCTGGAGAAGGCTATGGAACACTGAGCTTCAGACACTTTAGACATTCAGCTGCTGTTGATTAACTAAAAATGAAATCAATGTTTCTTAATATTTTTAAGAAAAGGAATCATTACTCTATCCCAGAGGAGCAAAATCTCTCTTTTCACTGTTCCCTCATTCACAGTTTAGCTGGAATATCAGAGATTTATACTTAACTGGAGACCCCCCCTCCCTCTCAGATATTTCCCCTGCAAGAATGAAGGCTGAGCAGAAATTTACTGAAAGTTCCCATTTCAGTAATCCAACATTCAGTAATGCACAAGTCAATGTTGATGGTCCATGACCCACCAATCCAACAGTATCCTCTTTGGCCACCACACAGCCATCTATTTTCATTTTCAGCTTGAATTCCCCCTAAAGGACAGCTATAAATGCATACATCAGCTATGAATTTTGCCTGTAAGGGCAAATAATTGCTTCAGTCATCTTAAAGGTGATATTCTACTGTGACAACAAGAGAGATTTACCTGACTGCAATTAGAAGAAAGGAATTGCAGGTACTCCACAATGACCTGTGTACCTGCCCTTCATTAGGAAGACATTTCAGAGTTCTCTATCCAAAGAAGCTCCTGACACTCAAAGGTTTAGGGGCAAGCCTGAGCTTCACAGTAAGTTTGGCACAGACAGATTCCTAACCAATATGGCATCTCCCAGATGTTGAGATAAGCAGAGTTTCAAAGGGATCCCCAGTAGCAGCAACAATGCAGGGAAGGCAGCAGGGCTGAGCCCCTCTGCAGAGCCCTGCCTGGGGGTCACACTGCCTGACCTAAGGGTGAAGGCAGCTGAGAACCTCGCCAGGAGAGGGAGCAGGGCAATTTTTACAGAACCTGTCTGGCTACCAATAGCTGTCTGGGGAGGTTTTCACCCCTGATGTGTTTCCAACCCTGCTACTTTCATCTCTCCAGAAGGGGTGCTGACAAAAGGACTCCTCTTGAAAAAACATTTGAAAATTGAAAGACATATAAAGAACTGGAAAAATCTGACAAAACACAAAAATTACATTATTTGATCTTTTCAGAACATAAACTGAGGAAGCCTTACCCTTTCTCCTGGAGGTCCCACTGGTCCAGGTGGACCAGGTAAACCTGGTGTTCCCTGGAGGGACAAAGAGTGAGAAATCGTATCCATGACAGAACAAACATCTCTGTTATGTCATTCCATATATTTCAAGCATATATGTTCTTCCCTCCTTTCTGTCTAATCTCATTGTACACTGACATGTGGCATTGCTTCCTACAGGACATTACTACTCCCTAAAAGTATACTACTCAGAGTTATAAGGACTAATGAAACAGATAAAGAATACAAGGTCCTTGGCCCACGACTGACCTTATCTGATATATGAAACTAAGTCCACAACAGCACTTAAGCACTCCTCATGTAGTCTTTTTATCTTCACTAAATTAAGGACAATATAGTAACCCAGGAATATTCATTATTCCAGAACATGTGCAGATCAATGACCTTAGATTATTTATAAATTTGGTCAATTAAAAAAGGTCCTATTTTTTTCTCCTCCTTTTATAGTTTACAGTACAGAAACTTGCAAGTAACTGAACTTAAATATTGTCTTCTTTCAGGAAGCATACAAATAATGTCCCAAGGCCATTTGAATTTCAAAAGTAAGTAGAAAGTAATTAGTAATTGCTAAAGAAGAGCTCAGCAAAGTTCTGCAATCTTTATTTTAGGAGGACATTCAACTGCAAGTGGTCAGAAGATGAGAGACCTTCCTTGGGAATTGAGTACTCTTCCTAATAGAATGGTCTGTTATTGTGCATTCACAACAGGGATGGGGATTCACAGTTGGGATGGGCATTTGGCTTGACCAAGCACAGTTGTTTTTTTCACATTTGCTGTTTTGAATTGTTTATTATTACCTATATTTCAAATTTCTAAGAGTAAGATAACTGTGTTTCCAAAACTGTGGCCCAGGGAGGTATGAGAAGAGCCCATGACTCCTAGTGATGTCAAAGACAGCTGTCCAGCAGCCAGGTTTCTTCAGGAATAGTGCAAAATGACATCACCTTGTCTAAGTGTCAACTTACCGATCGCCCTGGGAGTCCAGGCTGGCCAGCATCCCCTTTCATTCCTTGACGACCCTATAATTTTCACAAATGATTACAGAGTGCATCATACTTCCAGGACACAAGGTGTAGGAGGATATAAAGAAGCAATCTGCTGCCTTTCACAGCTAGCTTGCCTTCCATATATGCTACAACACTGTAGTATAAATGCACAGTCCAAATCCACATGAGCTAAACTAGACAAAACAATATTAATTTTTTACAGTGTCTTGCATGATAATCCAGCATTAACAACTGGTACTAATCAAAAAATTTGTAAACATAGACTGAGAACATGATTCTTAATTGATAGGAAAAACAAAAGTACATGACTCAAAAGTGCTCTAAATTTGTGTTAGCTAATGAGAAATTCCACGAATGTTGGTGTTTTCATTCTTCAGACTTTTTCAAGTGGATGTGACAAATAAATGGCTTATTTGCATTACGCATGTAAGAGGAATGTTTTTCCTTTCTTGCTATTTGATACCTCTATGTCTTCTTTAATAAATTTTTAAATTTATTAAATTTAAATTAGTGTGTAACAAAAAAAAATCATGAAAAGAATCTACATAGGATAACAAAGTCATTCTACTTTGTCCTTACAAAACAGAAGGTGTTCCTAATGTCTACCTTAAAGCACGTTTTGTTTTCCATTTTCCAAATTCCATTACAGATGGAGCAGGTAACCAATTTTCAAATGAAAAATGACACAGCATGCAATTAGACATCACTTCTTCTTTCCATAGAATTTATATTTTGATCAAAGACTTCATAAAAAAAATCTCCTGAATATATTAAAATTCAAGTTAATCCCAAACAGGGAATATCAGGATTATATTGTTGCTTTCAGGGTGATTATTTATTGAAATAAGGCAAAAGCAGCCTTAATACATTCACGAAGAGTTGTGCATGCAATCTTCTATAAAAACCAGAACATAGTGAAACTTCACCAGCGTTGATAAGACTTGCTTTGGCTTTGAAGGCATGCACATGAAATCAGAAATAGCATCTTGCTAAAATATGGATGCTGTTGCCAAGAAACCCCCTAGCTACTGATTTTAGCCAGACAACAGAAGTTGAACATGTAAGTCTGTGAAAAAGTCTTCAAAGTATTACTGCATCCTTAATTTTCCTGTACCACAATTTGATATTTTTAAGTCCTTAAACTGGAATGCCTAGCAACTCTACAGAATGCCATTAAGATTGATAAGAGAGTAGCACAATTTACATTACTGCACTCAGACCTTGTCCCTTCATTAGAATCCTATAAGCACATGTAACATTCAGGACAGAAAATGCTATTTTATTAAGAGCCTTGTTTCAGAAAGAGATGTGTTTCACAATGCTACTGGGTTGCAGGGGCAAATGAATGCTCTGGCAAAGCTGCCACCCTTTTCCCAAGACCACCATCCGATGGGCAGTTCTGGCTTCACACACACTGCCTGCTGATGGCACTCAAAAGGGACACTCAGAAGGGGCACTCACCGGTTCACCTGGGATTGACAGCCCGTTGGGACCCTGTGGACCTGGGGGACCTTGAGGGCCTGGAGGACCTGTCTCACCACGAGGACCAGGAGGCCCCTTAAAGCAGAAAATTAAAACAAAATTGTAAATGACAATCCTGTCTGAAATCCGTAACTAAAATCCTTTGGATAAGACACTTAAGGTAAGTCAGAAGCCTGGAGACACATTTAATACTTCGGAAGAACAGTGGAAATAGCTGTTCAAGAGGCATACTCTTTCATAAGCTATTCTCTGATTCATGTTGGCAGTCTCAGGCCAATGTATGCCCTCTGGCAATGCCAATTAGAAGTATTGCCATGTCCTGTGTACCAATGAGAGAACAATAATGCTGCAGAGTGTATACTAACACTCTGATGCACATAATCCCAGTATCCTGATGTGTGGTCAATGTAGCTACATAGACTGTGATATATAGTCTCAAATAGATAGGCTGCACATAAGTAACATAAAGTCATATTTTCAATTAAATTTTAATTAACATTCTTAGACTAAAACTAAGCATAAAAATTTTCATACAGGTAATCCTGTTTTAACATCATTATAGATGCATTTTGGGAAACATACTTACAGATGATCCAGTCAAACCCCTTTCACCTCTGGGACCTTTAGCGCCTGGGCCACCCTAAATTGAGTATTTGGAAAGAAAATGTATTTCATACACAGAAAGCAAATGTGCATAATACTTATGTGCATTATGAATTCTCTTTAACAAACTCTTAAGTGAAGCCCCAAAGTTTTGAAGTGTACAGATCATACTGCTAAAAAGAGTAGTATAATGAAATATGCATCAGGAACTCAGGGAAACCACATCAGCTTCAGCCTTGCCAATTCAGCCCATAAAAAATTATTATTTTGGTTTTTGTCTCTCCAGACATAAACTTCAATTTATATTCATCAAAAACTCTGAAGACCTCTCTAGTAGGCTACCAGGCAACTTAACTGGGCTTTAGATTCTTCATGCAGCATTTTTGATAGTTTCAAAGTATGACTAGTAGGCTGGCTATAACTCCCTAATATTCAAAGCAATTGATAGGACTATGTCCATTCCATAAATTAATTATTTAATTAATTAATATCTCTTCTCATAAAAAAAATAATTTATTTCCCTGACAGAGTAAAGAATCTTTCCTTGGAGTGAAATCTTGACTCTGTATTTAGAAAAAATATTTTTTCAGTTAATTAAAAATGTCTTGTACATGATGTGCAAGATACACCTGACAATTTAAAGCTCCCTTGTGAACAAAGCACAGCACTTCGAGCTGTGCCAGAGTCTTTCAGCCTATCAAACAATGAGGAACTAATCTCAGTGATCACACAGGAAATATAGGAAAAGATCATACAAACAAGTAGATATGGTAGGATCTGATGAAAAGGGGATGGATTAGCATGTTGTTAAGGATATATTGACAAGAACTATGTCTCTGACTGACATTTGTTTCACAAAGCCACAGACCAACACAAAACTACTTCCATAAATTTAAAAATCAGAACATTTTCTATTGTGTATAGTTACAGCTGGTAACTTACAGCTGGTCCAGGAGGTCCTGGAGGTCCCACACTGTCTTGAGTACAGGTACAAGCATTTGGAAGAGCTGGGCACTTTGCTTCATCTCTCTGAAAATTCAATCACAACTTATTACTGTCCTTTTAAAGAAATGTACTCAGTGGAAGCACGCTTTTCTGAAACAATAGCAGGAAGATTCACTAATACCCTGTTTCCAAGTAAACTCACAGCTAAACTGTGGTTTCCAAATGTTTCGACAGGATCTTTTATATATTTAGCAAATTTTATCTGTGAGCTATGCAAGGCATTTACAATAGAGGCACAAGCAAAGTATTTATATGCACTTGACAATCAGCTTGCGCTGACAAAGAATAGTTACTTTTCGAATGCCACTCCAAGAACAGATTAAATAAATAAATAAATAAATTCCCCATTTGATAATACATAGAATTTGAAACATCACTGAAATACAAATGTGACAGACATTTTTTTGCAAAATTTCTAAGGGGCTCAATTCTAGCATTACAGCTTTACTGTCTCAGACACAAAACTTTGAAATATGGTGCAGTTGACTGGCTGCTCTGACAGGTGTGATTTAGATGTGTTGTCAGTACAAGGTCTAATGACATCCTAACAGTAATATTATTAAATTTTGTGTCAATACATTTTTCTGGGTAGCCTCTGGTTCATTCATACTTACCATAGAAGGGAGATCACAGCATCTGTCTCTGCTAGTCCAAACTGGACTGCATACAATGTCAAAATTCTGGATTTCTAACTGTAAAAGAAAGAAATACTCTTGAAAGATACATTAAGTTTGGTGTGTTGTTAAGTATAAAATCTATCAACATTATCATTAAAAAATCACTCCTCCACTTATTTCTAATGATAGAGTATCCACAGTATATGCACTCAATCACTGTCAGCTCTCCCTATTAAAAGAAAAAAATTCCTGCCCTTGTTTGAATTTACCTGATTGTGGCTTCCAGCTACTACATTTTTGTTCTTGCAGTTCTGCTAGAACAAGAAGCTGTAAAGATTAGACTCTCAAGTCTACTGACTTGACAGTACACATGCTTGGAAGCTTTGGATGATGCAACAGTGGTTTCCCAACAATCCCTAATCTCTACCCTCAGAAAATGTCAAAGTCTTGCAAAAATTCTTATTTCTTGCTTACTGTTGCTGATCTTCGGTCGCCTTTTAGAAGTTTCCCAAGTATTTCATAGCCATCAGTTGTGATATTGCCAGCTTCCTTAATTGGTTTTTCCATTATTTCACTGCAGTCAATGTAAATCTTAACATTTGATGAAGTAACAACAATATGGACCTAAAAAAAGTTTAATGAAATATTTAGACATGGCACATGGGCACAGTTACTTTAACACCTTAATAGTACTTCACTGATTGGATAGTACTGTTTTAAATTTCACTCCTAGTAATCCTGATATACTTCCAGCTGGTGGAAAAATTCAAACTCAGGGAAAGTCTATGACATTTATAATCTCTTCTGAATGTGTTGAAGGTCAACAAGATGAACACAAGCACAATTAAGAAATACTATTTAATGTAATAGTTGAACTATTATTAACTATTTTAAAAGCTTGCCTTATATTTTTTTAAGATGGCAGAAAAGTAAAAAAAAAAATAAAAACTTGTCAGAGGAAGTGAATATAAGCATTTCTTGTTCTCTTCTGATGGCTGGGACCACACAAGATGTTTATAAGCCTGGGACTGCCCACTGGCTAAGAGGCTGTAGTTCAGAGAGAAGATTGTTTCAGACCCAAAGATGCAGAGTTCAGTTTCCACAGATGACTCAACCAGAGGCATTAACTACATTGAGATCCAGGAAGTGATCAGAGAAGCCTGCCCAGAGCAAGACAAAATAATGGAAGATGCAAGAGAAAATTTCCACAAAAGAAATATGGTTACACAAATAAATGCCAAAACAAGGGGAAACAGGGAAGATGAAGAGATTAATTAGTTTCCAGTAATTAATTAAATACTGGAAATAGAAGACACTTAGGAGGGAGAAAGGAAAGATTGTAATAAAGAGAGAGTATGTTTACCAGGAGACAAGAATGAAGAGCTTGGGGGAAACACAGTAAAGCTTAAACAGAGGAACATATAAAACCTAAGCAAAGATTATCTTTCCAAATATTTAAAGTATGTATGGCAAATGTTACAAAAGTTAAGTTTCAACATTTCTCTGAAAGAACAAAAAATATTTAGGGGTCTCTGAGAAATACAAAAGGGCCACTTTAGCATGTGTAATATGCAGTTCCTGATCTTCAGGCAAAAGAAAGTTTTCAGGGGCTTTATATACCTTACTGACAGCACATATTTCACATACGTCATTATAATATCTATGTACTAGTTAAAGTGTCAACACAATAAGATCAGGAGTAAAGAATCCCTGAAATATATATATTTTTTTAATTTTCTCTTATCACAGTACATAACATACAGAAACATATTGCTATTTGATGACTGCTTAAAAATTGGCACAAAGTTGAGAGATTCCCCTAAATGTCCTGGGTCAATAAGTGCCTCAACAATCTCCTGGGAATTTTTTCCTTTTTTTCCCTTTTGAATATTTTCCCATGCAGACTTGTCTCCAAGGCATCAGCACAGCTTATCTAAAACTCTTTTAAAATTATGTGCTTACACTTTATATCTCAGTGCTGTGTACACAAGTGGAGATTTTAATTAAAATTCCCAACCATATTCATTGAACAAATAATAATGATAAAAAATTATTACTGCATCATCCAGTTTAAACACATCACAGATGTAATTTACCAGCTCTGAAAGGTACCTAATATGCAAGTCCTTCTACTGGAATGTTAAGTATTTGTCACAATTTAAATAAAATAAAACACATTGCAGAGCAAATATAGATTATTGTATTTTCATTAGCACAAAAAATTAGTAAAGATAAATCTACATCAGAATGTTGAATGAGATCAGCTTGAAAAAGGTTCAAACAGAAATAACTGCTGAGCATCACCTATCCATCCAAAGAAGAAGCAATCCCAACAATCAAAAATAAGGAGAGCTCTCCCAAGTCATTGACTCAGTCACTTAAATACTTAAATCACTGCCAGATCTGCATTCCAGCCTGAATCTCTTGGCCTAGGCAATAAATCTAATTAAAGGAGGCATCTGGTGTTTACAGTAAATAACACGTCTCTGCATTCAACTCCAACACATTTTGTTTTCAACAGTTTCTAAAACACCAACATAAAGAATCTGTTCTGATTAGTTCTATTTATTTAATTTATGATATTTTAGGAAAGAAAACATACTTTAATTTTTCTCTCCAGATGCCTTATAAGATAAATTTTGATGGTGTTCTGATCCTCTGCTAAGCGAATCACATCAATAGGCAAAGCAAACTATTTTCCATATGTCTATCAGCAGAAAGATATATACTCATTATCAAATTTCCTCTTGCTAACTACTGCTAAATAGCAAGCTAAAAGGAAGTCTAGTGTGGTAAGAATAAGAAAGTAGAAGCTGTCTGTCTCTCCAAAACATCAGTTAGAAATTTAATGACTGTCTCAGGCAGTCAGAATTTTTCCTATGGAACTTGCCAGATTCAACAGCTTTCACCACGGCTCTGCTACACAGAGTGTTCAAGTATGCCAAAGTAAATTTCCCCACAGTTAGGTGTAGTTAACTGTATTTCAGTGAATAAGCCAGTAAGTCACCAAATGAAAGCCACAAAAATGTTTAATATTTTGGAAAACCTCTCCTTGAATTGTAAGGATTTGTCATTTCTTTGAAACTGGACAGTAGGAGAAATTGCAAACATACCTTTAGAAATGTGTTAATCTTACTTTCCTTCCTTCATCCATCTGAAACTACTGCTATCCATTATTAGGAGCTAATCAGCACAGCTGATGCATAAGGCTTTCCTAGCAGGTGGGCTGGGAAGCCCATTATGCCATCATTAACAACCTGACTGAGATAGCAATTTTAGTAATCATCTGGAGAGAAGCCAGAAAAGTCATCCTAGTTTCATGGTGAAAAATCCCAAATATCATTCTAAACCAAGACTCTTCCAGCTACTTTAAATTTCAAAATCTGAACTTTTGATTCCTTTCTGGGAAAAAAAGACAGGGAATTACATTGCATTAAGTAACTGAGAATTTTTTTTCTTAAGAAATAGTCTCTTCAGCAAGAATTCGTAATTGTAAAGCTTTAAGGTAATTTGCAAATCACTGCTACTCCTCTTCATTTTTTGGCATCTTAGGATCACTTTCTCTCCATATGTATTCATGTATTTCACTATTAAAATGATACAAAATCTTTGATTTTTATTTGCCCTATAATTTTTTTTTTTTTTTACTATCAAGTGTAATAGACCATTTTACATAACTTCTAATTTCTGGCAGCTAGCAAGGGTCACAGATTTTTCCCCATTTGCTCTGATAAATGTGCAGAGCATCACTGTAAGGCCTGTCAGATAAGTTTGCTCAGCTTTATCACATTTAGAGAAACTATAACAGAAAACATTATTCTAAACATCAACTAAATTAGCAACAGACATTTAAAACAGACTACTGGCAGTAGAGAATGTGGAGAGCTCCACACCACTGACCCTAAGAAGTGTCAGCTCTCACAGCAAGATCTAAAATGAGGAACACTACATACTGCTTTGCACCTAAACAGTACTTGGGGATAACTCACCCTTCATACCAAAACAAGATACATCCTAGCCTTTACTGAGAGTTTTTCTCACTCCAGTAGATTCTTATACTTCCTTAAAATTGTGTTGTCCTACCAAGCTATTAAAAAAAAAGGCAAATGTCAAAGATAAAATAAAGGCTGCTTAATGTAGGTATGATCCAAAGCTACTCATAACTATTGGTTACAAAATCAATGACATAAACATTTCTTCATATAGTCAAAAAAAATCAGGCCTAAATTCTAAACTAACCAGGCATAAATTCTAAAACAAGAATAACTGGATATAATGTAAGACTAGTTCGGGAAGTTACTCCATATTCTGAGGAAACCAATAGCTTTTATAGTACTGTGCTATTTTCATAATCACCTGTTTTTTAAACAGATGAAGTCCCAAAACATTATAATGCTGGCACCAGTTATCTTTCCTGGCTTTCAGTCTAGCCAAGCTCGGTTGACAATTTGGCCTCCAGTATCAAGAAGTTGACAGAGGCAACCCCTTATCAGTATCCTCAAAGGAATGCTGGTAGTGGCAAGTCATGCAGAAGATGGTATCATAAAGAAAACAAATGCCATACTCAAGCCATATTTAGTCATCAGATGAAAACTTAACTAAACAGAAGGGAGATAAATGAAAACATGAAAATATGCATTTCAGCTAACCAAAAATGTTGCAATTTCAGCTTACTTTCTTGCTCTAAACATATATACTTAACACAGCAAGAAAATGTTTTTAAAATGTTTTTAGGTGTACATGTAGCCTGAGTCAAGCAATTCCTGATGACTAGAGGTAAGGGAGCTTGGGAACACCAAATTTTCATAACTTGGTGCACAAAATTAGAAAAGCAAGCACAGATCTATGACGAGTGAAGACCCATGCAGCAACATGTAAAGATTTCACTAGCCATTTTGTCAATTCACAAACTGCAAGCTTCATTCTAAATGATAAAGTGACCCTTTATGGGCTCTCTCTTTGTTGCTTCCTCAGTTAACATGACATTGGAATATTTTAAGCCCAGTGTTTTTAAGCAAAAAAAAAAAAATCACACTTATGAAATATACACACATGTATTATGTTTGTTAAACATACAAATCTTATCCAATATGTTATTTACCTCCCAAAACTGGTTCCCTGCCTACTTACTTTCTCTGGCTGTATCTTCCTCTGCTCTGAATTATTTCAAATCATTACACTCCCATGCAATCTTTTCTCACCACAACTTCCTTTCCTTTCTTTCTTCCACTTTAACTTTTATTCTTCCTCTTTCATGTGGCAGGAACTAGGCTACAATTTCTTTTTCAGATATATCCCTCCACTTGCACAATCTTAACAAATTAACAAATTCTTGACAAATCTTTTACATTGATTCAAAGAAGACCTATAACTTCAGAGATCGTGTTTTGCATAATCTGCAGGTCCCTATGTCAACTTAAAATACTATCCAAAAACCAGGTACAGTCACCTGACAGTGACTTGTGCTTGGCTTTCTTTTATTTAAAGGAATGGTACTTCAGAAAGCAACATCATAATTTCAATCCTTTACCTTATGGAAGCTTCCATAAAAGATTTTCTTTACAACATCATTATCAAAAGTTACGGTTTGAACCTCTCCTCTTACATCCTTGTTAAAGAATGACAGCACTTTGCTGGCAGCTGCAACAAGTAAAAATAACACATTTCATTTCATACATACTACTGAAATCACCATACTTATACAACCTTAAAGATAAAATCTAGTTTACCCCTTATTTGGGTAAACACAAATCATAGATGATCTTAATGACCTGTAAGTATATAGATGTATTTTCCTTTGATTTTAGAGTTTATACTAAAATTGAAATGCTGTTTAGATTAATTATTCTTAGTTGAACTATAGATCTACAAAGTTTAAAAAAATTTCTTAAAACTAAAAATGTATAATCCTTTTATCATGTAGAAATGCTTTGGGTTTGGATATATTTGATAAGAACATATGCAAAGTAACATATAACTTCTCAATGCAATAAGTATAAACATCCTTACGATCAAGCACAACTCCAACTTGTGGTTTGTAATCTCTGTCTGTAATCTGCCAGATTGCAAAAGGCTCGTTGGGGGATTCAGGCAGAAGGCGGAACAAGAGAATGATCGTGTACGCCTGCGGCAGCCCCTCCGGGTGAATCTCCCTGACAAGACAATATAAAGGCATTTTTTCACAGAAACACATGATGAAAATTAGATAGTCATCATTTGCTCTTTTTCAAAGAAAAGATACAAGACTAACAGGGAGACCACAGTGTTTAGTGGAACAGAGCATTTTCACTACTCTCTCAAAGATAAAAAAACATTGTGATATAAAAACACTGTGATTTGTTAAGATGAACTCACAACTGTCTTCAGCTGGTCCCAGAACCACAATTAGAAAGGTTGCTTGAGTATGACCAAGAACTCTTGGGTATGTATTCTTGTGGCAAAATTCTGTATAAATTACACATGTTTTAAATTCCTTGTTGGTAAGTACAGAGAAAAAAAGACCACAACTTTATTCATTTTTTCATCTGGCCTGCTTCAGTCAGGCAACAGCATTTAACTATTGCTGCCCTTCAGGCACAGATACAGAGATGGAATACTTAATGTCTTCTTTGCAATTGGTGATGCATTTGGGGTCCAGCTCATTCTTTAGTGGCTCAGGTTTAAATTTGTGATATTTGGACTGTTACACATTAAATAAGCAGAGAGCCAAAAGTACATAAAAAAACCATGCATGAAACAGCCTCCGGAATTTTTCTGTAGGGGAAAGGATGGGAATGCAGGAAGAGAATGGCAAGAAAAAAGATAATCACTGCTTCTCCTTAACCATTTTTATGGAGCTCAGAAGGAGATTCAGTCACATGAACATAAACATAAAAATCTTAAATTAAAAGAGGAGCTGCTTTGTATGTTTGACAAAGCTTACGAACCCATACAATTAGGAACACTGCAATAAAAACCACATCACTAAGTCAACAACATCACACAGCACAGTGCAAGAATTCAAATATTAAAGTAGATATAGCAACACAACTTGTAATTTGGATAACAAATTATTTCAGATATGGAAACAACTATGCTACTAGGATCAGTATGAGTTTATTGCTTTGCTGACTCGGTCTAGAGTTTTATTTTCTGGGTTCTTATGAAAAATAAGTGCCCAGAATACTCTGGCGAGTCTACTCCACCTCTTTAGCAGACATTAGAGTATGTACCACAACATTTCTAAAAAATGAAATAAATATGAAGCCTATCTTTTTATTGTATTTTCATCAACTTATCCTAAATGCAATATCTATCAATGCAAGAGAGTTGCAAAACTGGAATTATCTGTATTTCCCTAGACTTCAAAAATCCATGCTGTCAGAGAGCTATCATCCCTGCAGGTATTAATGGCATGCCAATGAACTTAAAAATCCTCAAGTCCTCACTTTTGAAGCTATGATCTCAGAAGGCTAGCAAAAATAAATTATTTTTTCATAAACCTCCACTTCTGTGCTTGTGATCCTGTCTTTACCCAATCTGGCAGGATTGCAGACGATTTCAGAGGCTTCCATGAGAAGAAAACTAAATTTTCCTAAATTTAATGGAAACAATAGGCTATTTTTAGGCATCTCCTCTGAACCAGAATAACCTTTTTTGAAAGGAGAAAGGTATTTCCAGTAAAACTAATTGCGAACTAAGTCCTTTTTCTCTTTGGGAAAAAATGTTGGCAATATCCATAATATTACCATAACCAAGCTCTAAGACCACGGGCCCTTGAAAACTCTGCTCCATTTGCCAAATAAGGCACGTCAAGTAGAGGAGAAACTATCCTAAGTCAATGGCATCAATGTGCTGCCTATTGCAGTAAGAACAATGCTTCTGGAAAAAGTGATGCTAATCCCTCCATACTGAAACCATTTCTGTCCAGCAACATGGAATTCATTGTACTAAGAAGTTGTTGTTCAACTGTCTAGGTATAAACTGTGGATTATATGCAACTTGAATGGTTAAGAAGCATAATCTCAAAGAAAAATAAGCAACTAGATTAATTGTGAACTATGATTTCAGAGGGAGAAATAGATTAACATTTAATGAAAACAATGATAGGTGTTCTTCAGAGCGTATTTCTTGAAGCTTAGTAAAAAGAACATTACATTAATGCATCTTCCATAACACACATATGCTGTCTATAAACTCTGTTAATCCTTCATCACCTGGGCACCCTAAATATAAGTCTTGAGGTTTACTTACCGTATTGGCTGGCTAACAAAGGCATTTTTGTGGAGTTTATATGCTACATAGCTTGGGAAAGAGCCTGATTCCAGTGAAACTCCTTGTACAGAAGCAAAATGCTTCTCTGTTAGATTGTATGATTCCAGCATCTTGAAACCTTTAAATCCAGAAAGAAAATAAAAAATAAGAAACACCATAGAGTTATAAAAGACACAAAAGAACCTATGCCAAAATATTAGACAATTACTTACCAGGTGAAGTGTATCCGTCCAAGTAAATAAGGGGACAAGCTGAAAGATATGAAACAATATATAATTCAAAACTACTAAGCCTAACAGGATATGAACATATGTATACTTCAGAAAGTTTTACTACCAAGAAGTCTATGCTATTATTAATTCTGAGACAGTCTTTTTTACATTTGTCATAATGTGTCCTATGGTAGTTCTAATGTCAAAATCCCTACCCATCACTTTTAGTAGGGTTTTTCTACTCTGAAAAATTGGAATGACAATATGGAATGACAAATGAACCCCAAATATTTTAAGATTATAATTTATAAGAAGAAAGGAGGACAATGACACAGTCTTTCCATTAATATTTAAGACATGAGTCAAGCTGCATAATAGCTGTCAGATTCTCAAGAAACAACTGGAAATTTATGTGGCTCCTCAGGAGCCAGCAGATGAGGCAGTTAGGGAACATGCAGTTGCACATGACAGGCCTGAGAATTTCTTATTTTTGCCATAGAAGGATTTAACTTGAATAAACAACTGAGCTTTACTTAGATAAGTTAAAACAGCGTCACACAGTATAGCTGTACATCTTTAACACTTATTCCAGGGGTAAATAAGAGAATTTTGTGCTCTGCAGTTAGGGTACATTAGGCATCATTCTACTTTTAAAAGTTTTCAGTGACTGTTACTCTTGCTTTCTTCTAGTAGTACTTTTGAAATGCAAAATTAGATTACATAAAACACAATACTCATTTCAATATTTTAAAAAGTAACTTACTCCCTTGAGCTATATCCAACTATTTTGAAATCTAACTTTGTAATATGAACATATCTTCTGATGTACCTTAAATAAGATGGCAAATTGTATTTGGTTTGCATGGCAAGGCTTTGGTAACGGGGGAGCTACAAGGGTGATTTCTGTGGGAAGCTGCCAGATGTTTCCCCTGTGTCCAACAGAGTCAGCTCCATCTGGTTCCAAGACAGACCTGCCACTGGCCAAGGCTGGGTCCATCAGCAGTGGTGGCAGTGACTGGGGGATTACACATTTAACAAGGGGCGGTGGCTGGGGTTGGGGGTTGCGTGTGTTGGAATGGCACAACAGCCTGCAGCTGCAGAGAGGAACGAGAATGTGTGAGAGACAAAACTCTGTCAGGCACCAGAGCAGAGATTCCAGTGCATTCCTGGTCTTCCCTGTGGTGAGGCAGGCTGTCCCTCTGCAGACTGTGGAAGTCCACAGAGGAGCAGATATCTGCCTGCAGCCCCTGAAGGACCCTAGGGCAGAGCAGGTCTGAAGGAGACTGACACTGTGGGAAGCCCATACTGGAGCAGGTTCCTGGCAGAACCTGTGGCTCCCCAGAGGGAGAAGCCCATGCCAGAATGGGTTTGCTGGCAGGACTTGTTGACCTCATAAGAGACCCACAATGGAGCAGGCTGTGCCTGAAAGACTGCACCATGTGGAAGGGACCTAATGAGGTTCAACAAGGGCAAGTGTAGCATCCTGCACATGGAGGGGAATTACTCCAAATTCCCATTGGGGGCTGACCTACTAGACAGCAGTTCTGCTGAAAAGGACATGGGAGCTTGAGTGGAAAACAGACTGACCATGAGCTGGCAGTGCCCTTGCAGCCAGAGAGGCCAGTAGTATCTATTCCATCAGTATTCCATCAGGAAGAGTGGCCAGCAGGTCAAGGGGAGTGATCCTCTGCTCAGCCCTAGTGAGGCCACATCTGGAGGGCCATGTCTAGTTCTAGGCTCCTCAGTACAAGAAAGACTGGGAGCTACTGGAAAGGTTCCAGCAGCAGAGCATGAAGATGAGAGGTCTGGAGCAGCTCTCTTATGATGAGAGACTGAGGCAAGTGAGCCTGCTTAGTCTAGAGAGCACTGAGACTAAAATATGTATCTCATTAATACATATAAATATCTCAAAGGTTGGTCAAGAGGATGATGTCAGACTCTTTACAGGAGTGTCCAGCAACAGAAAAAGGAGCAAAGGCCACAAACTTAAACACAAGAAGCTTCACCTCAATATGAGGAAGAACTTTCTTGTGTTGAGGGTGGCAGAGCACTGGAACAGGCTGCCCAGGAAGGCTGTAGAGTCTCTCTCTCTGGAGAAATTCAATATCGACCTGGATGTGTTTCTGTGTAACCTGCTCTGGGTGATCAGAGGCGTTGGACTGGATGATCTCCAGAGCTCTGTTCCAATCCTAACAAGGGCATTCTGATTCTATGACTCACACTGGGACAGTTCATGAAGAGCTGCAACCCATGGGAAGGACTCATATTGAGACATTCATGGAGGACTGTCTCCCATGGTAGGGACCCTCACTGGAGCAGGGGAAGAATTTGAAAACAACTTCCCCTGGGGAAGAAGGAGCAGCAGACAATATGTGATGAACTGACCACTGCCCTCATTCTCTGTACTCCTGTGGTGCCCAGGGTGAGGAGATAAAGAAATCTGGGAGTAAAGCTAACTCCAGGAAGAAGGGTGGGGTGGTGAGATGGTTTTTAATACCTGGTTTTATTTCTCTTTATCCTACTCTGATTTCATTGATAATAAAATAATTTTTCCCCACATTGAGTACAGCCCATTACAGTAACTGCTCAGTTATTTCTCCCTGCCCTTATCTCAAACCAGGAGCCTTTCCCTGCATTTTCTCTTCCCTGTCCAGCTGAGAAGGGGAGCAATAGAGCAGCTTTGGTGAGTGCCCAGCATCCAGCCAAGGTCAGCCCACCGCTCACTTTAAGCAGTATATAACCAGACATATTAATTTGGGTAAAGGGAAACCAATGTCTTCTACTTACTTGAGGTAGCTGTCTCACACACAAAGGTGACAAGGTTATCTTGAATCTTCTCAAAGGCATCAAAGTCATCAACAATAAATACATGGCGTTCACTGGGTTTGCTGGCAATCTTGGCCAGTTCGTTGTAATCCACATCAGCCACACCAACCACAAAGACACTGAAGCCTGTAAAAATAACACTTGTTACTTGAAATGCAGCAAACATACATCAACATTTTTAATGTTAATGTTGCACAAACCATTGACTTGTGATGAGCTACCTATGAGCACACATTCCAGACCTCTTTTCACCTTGTGAAAGCTCTGAAAGATGTTTTGCATCTTTCTTTCAAAACTTTCTCCTCTCTCATTGTTTTTTTGGGGCATTATCCAATCTCATGTGGTCTTGGCTACATAGTCTCCTCACTCTTCAATACAAAACATACAATTCTCTCAACTCTACAGCATCTCAAATCTGTTCTGTGGCCAAAACCTTACAGACCATTAGTTACCCAGGTGTCTATCTGTTTCCATCTCTTGCATTTCATGCTTCTCAGTTTCTCTTTCCTAGAGTGGTATTCACATCTCCAACTTCTACTTTCCAAGCTGTCTAGCTTTTCTCTATAATCACCAGATATGGTCAGATTCAGAAAGCAATTCATCTTAGCACCCTCACATGCTGAATTCAGAATAGGAAAAGTCATTGTTTGTCGTTGTCTTCCTTTGCTCTCTTCATCAGTCATAAAAGGACCCTACACAATGACCTTACTCTAGACATTTAGTTGTCAGATGTCTTAAGCTAAATGAGAAGAACCAGACCACAGAAGTGAATCATATCGCCAGGTGTAAATTTCATTGAAGAGAAACTGCACAGACATTGGAAAAACCAGTTGGAGGCCGAAATTTGGATTCACATTTATTCCAAATGATAAAAGAAGCTTTTTTTTTTTTTTTAAAGAAGCTAATTATTCCCCTGTAGCCAATTATGGTGAAACTTTGGCGGAAATACTCTGTCCAGCTTTGAGCATGCTTTGATATGTGTAGAAAACAAAGCAAGAAGAGAGGAAACTAAAAATGATAAGAGGTCTCAAAAACATGATCAACATGACATTGAAGGAAAAATAGGTTTGTTAGGTCTACAAAAGAGAAGATAGAAAGAGGAGATGACAGTAAGTTTCAAATACCAAGGCCCATTACAGTGGACAGCAATCAGTTTCTTTCCTGATTAACTAGGCACATGAAGACAGCAATCTCACTAGCATGGAGAAAGACTTAGGTGAAATGCAAGACAAAGGTCTCCTACCAGTAGGGTAGTTAAGCCCTGAAGCATATTTTCCAGGGAGACTGAGAAACCATCTAGACAGAGTTAATTCTTCCACATTAAAGAGACAAAGAAGATGATAGTTTGTGCTTTACATGCACATGATTCCCATAAGGATGTACAACATCTCCCTGCTCAGAGATCAGGACTGGGAGGTTCAAGCACTGAAACGCAAAATGCCAAGTGCTGGGACAAGAACAGATTACTACAACCACATAAGCCACAATCAAATCTGATGAGGAAGTGCTTCTTAGCTCAAAATGCAAAAGGTAACAGGTCTATTCAGACCCAGCTCCTCCAAAAACAGTTACTTAAACTGGAGATCCATGGGTTTATACCAGATAAAACATAAACCTCAGGAAACCAGGCCCATTAAAACACAAGCACTAGTATGGAGTATACTTCCCAGTGATTTCTGGGGTCCAAACATCAAAAAGAGGAAGCAGTAACCAAAAGCTACATCTTTGAAATGATATGCATATAAAATCTTTGGGAAGCCACATCCTTCCCCAGAGAGAAGGCTTAAGAAAGAAAATCTAAGTCTAGGTCCTGAGAGCACAAATTCTTTGAATACTTCTGATGTTTTCTCAAATACTCAGAATACATTTCTGAGTCCATAAAGGATGAGTAAATGATTCCCAGATGATTGAAGCAATACAGAAAAGAAACAGCCAGGTAGGTGCTGTGGACTGCTTACCAGAGTGCTGTATGACTGTTGCTGCTTTCCTCACCTCATCCTGAGACCGACCATCAGTGACAACAACAAGTACCTTGGGAACGCCTCGCCTCATGCCACTCTCCCAAGTCAAAACCTTTTCTTTGATAAATGTTAGGGCTTTGCCTGTAAAGTGTGCAATAAACAAGGAATCATCCATATTATCCACAAGAGAAGAATTCTTTTACTTCTTAAGGGCAACAGCACAGAACTAAAACACCACAGAAAAATCCCCTTCTTCAGCCATTCAATATTTGGATAATTACACATTTTCTGAAAATATTTTATCTTAAATAAATATAATTACAGGCCAGAATTACCTGTCCTAGTGTTTCCTCCTCTGTACTGAATGTTTTGAAGAGCACCCAGGGCCTGGGCTTTGTCATCAAATGTATTCAGTTTAAATTCAGATTTTGCCTCGTCACTGTACTGCACAAATGAAACCTGAAATGGAATATAACAGTGTTCAGTCTTATACCTCCAGATTCAGGCCAACTCTCTCAATTGAAATATCTAAATTTTTTAATTAATAATTTTTAAATAATCAAAAATTATTTTTAAAATACGTCTGATTATGCACACACATACGTATTTATATATATAGACATCACACCAATATGCACACAATTGTTTTCTTTCTTTCTTTCTTTCTTTCTTTCTTTCTTTCTTTCTTTCTTTCTTTCTTCTGTGTATAAAATGTAATATGACCTTAAATGCATATGATCAAATTCTACCTTTTACCTTCTACCTTTTACTAGGTATATATGCCTATTTTCTAATTCTGAGCAGAGGTACAGTATCTACTAAACTTCTTCCAGCTTTTTTTTTTTAGGAATAAAAATGAATTTGTCAATAGAATGTCAATAAAGGTGAATACATGCACAAGTACATACCCACTTGCCTTAAGCACTGAACTACAATAACTAAAAATTTATTGCTACATAATCTTTACTTTTTTATTTTGTTCCTTTTAATATTCTGTAAAATTGCAATATCATAGCATTCTATTTTAATGCTGAATAGAAATATTTCTGTTATGTATATATTCACATTTGTTGTAGTAAATTCCCCCTTTAAAAGTATTAATTTTCAATTAAAAACCTCAGATTGTTGCATCTCAAGTGGTATGTGGCTTCAATATTTTATTAAACATTAGTGTTTATATGTGTCTGTCACCTTTATTGTCTTCCCTACTTCCTTATATATTAGCAAGAAAAATATATGAAGCAAAAACCAAATGAACAGGAAAACTACTCAGTATAGACTAGAGCTAAGAATGATAAAGATTGTCTGACACAAAAGGACTTTAAGTACTAGCTTTTCTTCAAAAGTCTAGAGAGTTAAAGATAGGGAATCAAATTACTAAAAATATGCCTAGAAGATGAAAAGCAGACCTTTAACAATGTAAATATCCTGTCTGCCTTCTAACCAAAGAAAATGCATTGCACCTGCAGCTCTTTGCAACCAGAAATACCATGCAAGAAACTCCCTTGGACCTCATGTCATTCATTTAATCTAGTGAAAGAGAAGTGTTTATGGGAACCTAGACATTGATTTCATCCAGCCTCCTACAAGTAGAAGAAAACTGATAATGGTGCAATGGTTATGATAGGAAGCCAGACAGGAAGTTAGTTTGACATAACTATGAGCAGCTCAGAACTCCTGAAAGTCTATCCCTCATTAGCTATATCTGTTTACTCCCTCAAAATTCATTAAGAAGACCTTTTCATACTTTTACTATGCCCACTGTAGAGTGGACTCATGTTAGCACAGCATGAAAAGGCTTTTGCAAGTGCCTTTTTCAAAGGCATTCTGCTATTCAGTGCAGTGGGACTCTAGGGAGCTCAGCAATGGCAAGCCAGCTGGACCCTGCAGGCACAGGACTCATCTTTTACACTGAGAATTTAAAATGTGGCTCTCAATCAGAAGTCAGAATCTCACTAAAACAGACTTCTGATATGACAGAGACAAAACCTAGGATACTAAGCAGTGTGCCAGATGCCATATACAAAGAAACAAAAACATAAAATTGACCATACATCATCCCAGTTTCTCTACCTGGAGGATTCCCACAAACTGTAACTTGTATTTCAGAATATTAACATCTCAAAATAGAATGGATTTTCCTTGTATTTATAAAATGCAAAATATATTTCATAAATAATAGGCATGCACACCCAAATACACGTCTTTTACAGCAATCTAATATAAAAAATGACAGCATTCTGAAAGGAAGTAACAATTCAGGTAATCTTCAATTTCCCTCCAAAATGTACCCAATGGGAATAACAAACCTACCTGGATTCCAGCAGGATTGATTAAATCAAAGGCTCCTACTGTACTAAAAACAAATTTCACTACTTTGTTGAAATTATCATCACCAATACTCCAGGAAGCATCAGTCAAGAATACTATGTCTGCTTTGGCACCTCTGCATACTGAAAGTCCAAGAAAAGGAACCCTTAAAATACATCAACCATACCACCATGAAATAAATATTGCTTCAAAATTTGAAAATTCAAGAATAACAAATATTCAGCAAATGTCTACTACCACACATTCAACCTGGCACATGACTAATGCTCTACACAAAAACATTTATTAAAATATATCAAAGAAAGCTTCAAGAAATGTCAAAGAGTTCAAGATTAAAATGTAAAAATTGTAAATTACTTTTTTTCCTTGATCAGCTACCATAAAACATGAATTGTCTGTTGAGAGCAGACAAAATCATAGACTTTCTGCAGAGCTATAGAATATCAATAATCTTTTCCCCAAAGGTGTGCATCTTGCTGTTCTAAACCAGGAAATGCTGAAGTCTAGCAAAGCTCTAGAGCAAAGGGATGGCATTAGGAAAGGTCCCAATATTCATTTCCCTAAAAGGCTGTGCTAGTTTTAAATCCACTTAAATTTATGAAAATTTGAGGTAAACTATGAAGTAGTACAGCAACTACACACAAATATTGAATAATTCTAGAAACAAACATACCATCCCGAGCTGGAGGGATTGTGGGAGGTGGAGGAGGTGTAGGTGGTGGAGTCGGTGCCTCTGTAGGTTTGAGGACTGAAAAGAAATAATAATTTTATTCTACAGCTGAAACAAGACAAATTCTACACCTAAAACTTAAAGTTCACAATATCTGGTACCTACCTGTATGCTCCCTCATAGAGACTGGAGGTCCCTCAAGGTTAGGGGTCTGAACAAAGACAGTAGCATTGTATTCTGTGTCTGGTGAGAGGCCAGTAAAACAGTGGCTTGTTTCTGACCCACGAATTGTGATTTCCTGTCCTCTGGAACCTGTCAAAAAAAGCCCAATGGAAAGAAAGTTAGAACCTATTACTTCCCTTCTGATATATATATATACATAAGTGTGGTAATGAAGAAACTTCTTGAGAGGAGGTTTGGACAGCGCTCTTATTCTTGTCCCATAACAACCTTTCTAGACCAAAATTGTGTGGTGATTGTGAACCCTGGAGCACACTGGAAAGTACAATTGCAGCTCACATGTGAAACCAGGCAACTGGTAGGTCCACTTGACAATAAACAGTAGTCCCTCTTTGCAGCCTTTTCACCACTCAAGAAAAACAGGTTATACTCAGAGCTTTAAAACTCAGTCAGATGTATCATTATGGCTGGTGCTTACCACCAATCCGAGTAAGTGGTGCTCTCACTGACATAAGACAATTATGTTTCTAGAAAATGCAAAAAAATAGAACACACTTACCATCAGTTGGGTTTAGCTTCAGTCTGTAGGAAGTTGCCGACCGATGAGGTGACCACCGGATACAGAGAGTATCCCAACCCACTTTGTAAGTTGTTAGGTCAGTGACATTCAAATATACTGTGAAAACCAGCACAACAAAATGAAAACCATATTAGCAGTGCTGGTTTGGAACTTGATTTTTAAAAACACTTGCAGAAAGAAAGAGCTTTTCTAGTCAAATCTCCCTATTTTACACCCTACAGATCCCCACCTAGCTATTTGCAAAGGCCCAAGATCTCATAATGGGTAACAGCCCATTTTATGAGTTTTCACACGAAGTTGATTTCTTCACAAAATAAGAAATCTCCAAAAATAAAAATCTGACCCATATATATAGCAGCATGAAAAGAATGTACTTGATTCATCATAATTGAAGAAATTTTTTGAAGTGCCTTAGCTGAGGCCATCATCAAAATCACTGGACATTGCTATGAGGTAAAAGCAGAGTATCAAAAAGCCTAGACCTGCTTAGTAACATGGTTAGATTTTGCAGTACCCTGGAGATGGGTAAAGATTAACTCCAAGTATAGCTTAACAAAATTTTAGGAAATAGACTGGAAAATTTTATTTCATCAAGTCATTACTTTAAAATATATTTTCATTACTCTTTCCACGATCAGTGTTTATAAGATCTACCTCATGGACAGATGACAAGTACTCTCCATGAGAGGATGCTCATGCTTCCTAGCAACCAGCCATCAAAATCTTCTCTTAATCAACATTATCTCTTACCAGCACATGTATCTAGCATGACTACAACAAAATTGTTCTGACTTACACGTAGTGCCTTGATCTGTCAAAGGTATGCTCATTCCAGAATCATACTGGGCATAAACATTCACATCATAAGTAGTACTGGGAGACAGGTTATGCAAAGTGTAGGAAGTCACTTCTCCCACAAAAAACTCCCTGGGCTCATTTGAACCTTGAATCAAGGAAGCATTAAGAACAGAGAAAGAAAGAATCATGATTACATGAACTACAAAACTATTCCGTCTCTTACACATCAGTAAATGTTAACCTCATTTTTCCTAAAATAAAGCATATTGATTTCTTAAATTTTAGGATATTACAATGCTGCAAACAGAACATACACATAGTTTTACAAGCTATTGTGCAATTTTTGTTTTCAGCTTCTAGAAAGATATGTATATTGTTTGAAGGCCACATAAAACAAAAGTTCTGCAGGACATTAATACCCAAATACCTGTCCAATATCCTCTCATATACACCAGTTCATAGCCTTAGAAGGACAAGAGGCATTAAAGAGGCTAAAAACAAATCAGGTCACTGTATAAAGTTTTAACTATACAATTCAATCCCTGTAATTGAATGTCTGATACTACAATTGACAGTTTGTGTTTATTATAGAATACTGATCATAAGACTAAAGTTTCCATGAAAATTGGTAAGCAGAGGAAATAAATAGATCGTTTAACACAAAATGATACTTATGATTCCTACTCTGGTCTGCCATTAGCTACTCACTGTTCTAAGACTGGTATACTCAGAATGAACAAGTTTTCTTACCCACAGGCTTGTATACAATTTTATAGCCAAGAACAGGGGATGGTGAAGGATCCCAGGAAACTCTGAAGCGTGTATACCATTCATCAGTTATATACATATTTTGAGGAGGAAGCAGGCCAACTAAAAAGAAAGAAAAAAACCCATTCTAATTAGGCTACTAATTGTTTTTCAGTTTTTAGAAATGCAGATTGTTACTCTGCAAGTAACAATCATATCAAGGACATAATTAACTTAATAAAATCTTTACAATGTTGAAGTATTCAAGGAATATGTCTTAAATTTAAAAGCAATAATCAATATGAAAACTATAATTACCAGTTCTGCCATTTCCAGTCAGTTGACCACCATCTCCATCTTCATACACAGCAACAACAGTAATTTTATATGGCGTATCTGATTGTAGTGGTTGTAGTATCACATTATTCCTTATGCCAGGAACTGTTGTCTAGAACACAAAAGAAACAGAGGTAAACACATTCACAGTCTTGCAACTGATCAGTAGTGACAGTAGCTAGAAACAAAAATTTGTTCTGACATTTGGCACACTATGTTTTATGTCCATCATAGAAAAAGTCATTCAGGATACCTTAAGGTTTATAGCCTATAAACAATTATCAGTGTTTTTTTATTTTGAATGACAAAACATTGTGGCCAATACAAAAACATAAATCAAATTGATTCTTCAGTCCCAACACACATCAGACTGAGATGCTGCAGTTCTCCACCAAAATTTCAGTACTCTTCTCTCACAGAAATATAGAAGTCATAATGATGTGGGTTTTTTCTTGGGAGATACAAGTTATTCTGAGAAGGAACCTCTAAATACATTGACATATAAAAGTACTCCCATTTATGGATCCCTCAATCTCAACGTCCTTATGTAGCCATGCACTATTGCTCCCTTCTAATTGAAAATGTAGGTATAAATCCAAAAGTGATCCTGCTCCTTAAGGAAGACATAAAGCACTGAAACTAAGGGAAGTAATTTGAGGTATCTCTCTCAAAAGTGCATGCCAGTCAGTACTCGCTATGAATACTTGATTAAAATTTTCAGTTGTTTGAGACTTGCTGTTTTTATGGATTGTCCAATCTTTTTTGCAAAGATATGTGTGTTGACAATATGTGTGTCCTGAATAATGAGTCCAGTAGGGAATTTTCAAACAGTGAATTTTCAGCATGTGCTATACAGTAATAGAAAAGCAATCAAAATGTCATTTTGGCTGGTGGCAGTTGGCAGGAATTCTGCCATTGTCCTCTACAGGATCTGAGCTTTGCTTTGCTATAAATACTCTGTGAATTTTATAAGCTTCAGAATAACTTGTGCTATCATTAAGGTGCAGGAAATGAAACACACTTACAATTCATACTGAAACTTAGAACAGCAAGTTAGATGCTGAATCAAAGTTAACTTTGGCATCTTATTAGACTCTGTCAATTCTCTTCAATTTAGGAAATGCAGATTTATGTTTATTCTGTATCCTGGAACACTGACTTTGTAATGAATACAGTATGAAGTAATAGATGGCTATTCAATCCATCACACTTCAATGAAATACCAGGAAGCAGATTCTGTTCAGAATTTTCTGATTAGTGTGTGACTCGTATATTTAACATTATTTCACATACATATTTGTTCAAGAAACCATATATTTTCTTTAGCTTCATGGAAAAAAAAAAACCTGTTTTATACAAACCATGGCTTCCTAACATTTACAGCAATGATCAGAAAACCCACAGAGCCTGCACAGTGTACTGCATGTAGAACACATCTTGATTTTTGTGTAGCCTAAAGAATTGACTGAAAATATCTCAGTGCTTACTAAGGAATTACAGAACTTACGTATTCATCAATAGGGTCTCCCACAGTGGGTGAATAAATGATTCTGTACTGCTGGACTGGCCCATCAGCATGGTCCCATTGCACAGAAAGGCTGTTTGTGGTCTCATCAAATACTCTCACATTCCTTGGACCACTGCGAGGCACTGAAGAATGAAAATACAGAAGGTTTTACAGGGCATGATACCTCTAGATCAGTGTCACCCTCATCAATTCAAATGTTGCCCTGAAGCCAAAGTCAAGGGCCCTTCCTGAAACCCTGAATAAATATATATACATGGGGAGATTAAGTCAATGATCATGCCTGAAGATCTTAAATAGAGACAGACAAACTGAAACAGTACAGAAGGGAGAGAATATCCAGATGTGCAAAGTGAGCATCCACACACATTCTGCTTCTCAAACTCCTGCAGACAAGTATTATTGTAGCCTGCCACATCTTCAAGTTTTAGATTAATATAGGGATTTTACAAGGAAAACATAGAAGAAGCAAAATTATTGTTGCAGACAGGTTTTTTTTCATGTTACTTCTAGTGTGAATTTTAAAGAATCTAAGCATAACACAACCAAGATCCTATGAGACAAGGAGATTTTGGTGTTTAGGTGTCTGCAGCAAAAAACAAACAGCTGGGGAGGGTAACACATACAATTACTATGTCAGACAGCAACCATGAAGCCCTTTTTTTCTATTGACCACTAATTCTACTCATCTTAATAGGCTATTTTTTAATAAAAGTTATATTGTTATTCATTGGTAATTTGATTTTGAAAAGAGCTTTTTAACTCTTACACATGCAAATTAAGCTTATTTCCCAATTGAAAATACATTGCTAATAATTCAAGTACCACAACTGACAGACAGCGTAGCAAAAATTCCCTGCCACAGAGACCTATAATTGCTGCAGGCATAATTCAGATGCATTAATTCAGAGTTGCACTAAATAGCTTATATTATTTGTAATTGTAACTAACATATACGTTCTTCACACACCAGTTTTGAATTATATTTCACAACACAAGTACTGACTGTCTCTTACATGTTCTTCCCTGTGCTTGGCTTGGATTTCCCTCTCCATCCGCATACAGAGCTATAACATTTATTGAGTAAGCAGTGTCAGGAGTCAAGCGTTCCAGAATCACATCACGAGTATTGCCTGGCACCACAATCTAAAACAGAAACAACAAGCACCTATATAAATAAAGTTTCTGCTTATACCATCCTTTTTTAGAAAATAATTTGAATGAAATATAGAAAAATTGGTAACATGACCATGCTGCACACTGTCCAAGAAAAATAACATAAATTCAAAATAAACATGTAATATTGAAAAAAATTCAATACCGGTGAAAAAAAGAACAAACAGTATAAGGAGCTCTCATTCTGCAAACACAGTTGTTACTTTTTACATTTTACATTAAAATCATTCAGAAAAAATAGGAGAAACATTCATAATCTGAAACTAAAAAAGTAATTTCTGTAAAAATTTACTATGTATAAATTATACTATGTATAAAAAGTCCTTACAATTCCTTACATAAAAACATGTACATCTAAATGTACAATATGGGTCTTCATTTTATGTTAGTACATTCATAGTCAAAATTTTAAAACTGCACTTATTCACAGGAATTCTTACTTCACACCTGGAGGGTGCTTTTTTACCCATATCCAGATTTCACTGCTCACCAACCCCCACAAAAGACTAATGATTTAGGGTAAGCAGATGGCATCTGGTTTCCTAATTACAATTCCTGATAAATATTTGTTGTCTCTGACTCTCTTGAAAAAAACAATTATTTAACTCATATTTATCTGCAATATGATATAGGATACTCAATCATCAATACAGAGTTTTAAATGGGAGAGTATTATTTCTTATTTCTTTCATTTTACCAAATTAAGCCTCTATTAACAATGGACTAGACTCCTATAAACATTGTGCTTTCTGCAGAGACTCTCCTGGGCAGACAGTTGGCCTGAGTTTACTGTTATTTTTTACACTCATCAAAGGAAGCAATAGTCTCTACACACATTTGACTAATAGTATAAAAGCTAAATTACTTACAGATTCTGATGGCCTTGGGCCAGAGAGTGGAGCATAATTAATTCTATATTGCTGTACTGGACCTGGAGCAGGTTCCCAACGGACATTCATGCTGTTTGGTGTGGGATTGTAAACGTGAATGTTTCTTGGTGTTCCTCGCTCCACTAGATAAAGGATAATTTAAATGAAGTTTTACAAAGTTGTAAGTTCTATTTCTAAATGAATTTACAACAGTGCTCAAAAGAACCTGAAAAGCACCTCAGTTCAAGATAAACATATTACTTTTGTTAGCCTAAAATTTACAAAGCTAAGAATCTCCATGTTCAGTCTTTCCAAACTTCCACACGAGGCAGCAAAGTACGTGTTTGTACTGCAAATTGAAAATATGATCATAACACTTTGTTTTCCTATTGTTGATCAGATATGTATGAAAAATAACCACAGACTACATATTTTAGGTCAAGCTGACATTAGTAGCCCAAACTTCTTAGAAAATTTTAAGTGCACGCATGGACATTAGCATGGATTAACAGCAATATTCACTCTTTGTTCACAAGTATTTCTACTAGCACTGCAATTAAAATGTTACTGTTCTGTGAAGTAAACACTAAGTGTGCTGCACAACTTTTGGAGCTAAGCTTGCCTGAGTTAAGTGGACTGAAAGCCTCCACACAAATAAGCAAAGGAAACAGAATAATTTACAAAGCTGCAAAAATAACCAAACAGGTAAACCTTTAAAGTAAAATCAATTTCTAATGATCTGGGGCCATTCATAAAAAAATCCTAACATTTTCTTGAAAAGGGCCATTTTACTTACAGGTGCGTCCGGTGTCAGAGGTACGTCCACCATCCCCCTCTTGGAAAACTGGAACCACAGTTACAGTGTAAGGTGTGTTGGGTTCAAGAGTCCTCAGGATGACATAGTTTGTATTTCCTGGTACTGTGGTCTATAAATTTAAAAAGAAAGGGTCAAGAAACTTACAAAAACATGCCAAAAAATAGTTTAAGCTTTTTTATTTATCACATACACCCCTACCATATCTAATTTCCAGACTGGATGTGATAAAAGCTTTACAAAAGGTGAAGCTTAAAATAACATGGTTTTTGGTATCTTCTAGTACTGCTTTTCAAGAAGATTCTCTCTCAGACTTAATACAAATAAGTTGTATTTGTACAACTCCTATTTAGCTCCCCTACAGCTCTCTCCACTTTTGGGTCCAGATCCTGCTGTACTAATGAAAGTAGCAGAATCTGCCATAAACTCTTTAATGTCTACTATTTAGCAGCTCAGATGCATTAAAATATCACTTTCTAAGTTTAAAAAAAACATTACATAGCACTACAACATGCTGATGACAAGAAGTATAATGAGCAGCTCATGTTAGGAAATAAAACTCCACAGCACTTAAGAATATTTGTCATCAGTAGCACCTTAGTTGCTTTTGAAACAATGGCATTCATTGTTTCATTGCATGTACGACTCATTTCATGTGCACATTGATTTGCAGTGATGTAGAAAAAGAAACACAACTGGGAAAAAAATATTTTCCAGTCTGCAGCAAGGGTTTTGTATTTTCAGGATTCTTTTAGCTCTTTAGCAATTAAATAATTTCGGGAGATTAGAATATGGATTTTTCTGATTCCACCAATACTATTGAAGCCTACAGTCACATGACTCCTTAGCAGTATAGATGGGTAGAAATGAAGTCTGCCAACTTTATAAGGTTTTTACACCCTGAAGTCAGCTTTACATTCACACACAGTGCCCTAAGGATAAAGAAACAAAAATTTGTGTGTGGTACTAAATCCCATGCTAAGAACTAATCACTGATGGCCTATTATATGAAATCAAACACCTGTGATACATATGGGAGGAACTTTCATGAAGTTGCTGCGAATTTTTTCCAGGGGGGCTATGAACAGAAAAAAAACCAGTGCATAGGCAAACAAGACCTACTTCACCCAGCAGCATTTCTCTCACCACCACCATGAGGTGTAATTTATCTGAGATGGTTAGTGAGATCCACATGAAGAATTTACCATTTCCTCTGCACCTCCAGCTGTAGGTCCATAAAACACTTTGTACTGGCGAGGACTTCCTTCTGCATGATCCCATCGAACATTCAGAGTACTGGTGGTTGGGTCATAAACTAGCAAGTTCTTCACAGTAGTGAGAGGTTCTGAAACAGATCAGTAAGATGTCAGAAATGTGGAATCCTGTTGTCTCCTTTTTGCTGTCAGATCACCTCTGTAATGTATCCTTAAAAAAATTTTAAGATAGGTTTAATAGCTCATGTTAAATCTTATTTATCTTCATCACTCAGAATACATCAGCTCTATTCAACACCACAATGCTAAATTAGAAAAAATTATTTCTGGACACTATTTTAGAATTATGCAATGAGTTAATTAGAATTTTTTCTTCATTCCTCACCAAACCCATTGCTGTGTCTGACTTCCCATTACAAGCTCATAATTAAAATAAATGCAACTGAATTAATAATTTTGTAGTTATATAATTATTTAAGTAAATACATTGAAATGGGTTTTATAACTGAAGTGTCTCTGATAGCAAATCACTTTGTGATTTCTATATCAGGATCAAACAAATGCATCACTATAAAATGGGAGAGTCCTAAAGTGCACACTATGAAGGTCAGCATCTCAATTGAAGATCCTTAAAAGCACACACATATGAGAGTAACATGCTCTCAGACACCTTGAGGTGTTTACTAAGTTCTGGCATAAAACAATTAAACAAATTAAAATGAGGAAGAAGTTTCATAGTAAGATTAGGGTTTCTCTCAGCTGTAAAAACTGGGCATCCAGTCAAAGGCAGTGGTCCAGGGCTTCTCTAGAGCCAGTAGACTGACAGGTGCTGTTACTTCAGAAACTTGAAAGCCACCAAAGGAAAAATGACAAATACAAATGGGATGAATTTCACAAGAAACTTTTCTCAGCTCTTCTGAAAGCAATATATTGGTATTGTCTAAGAAGACCTGAAGTTACTTACTGGTTCTGCCTCGTCCTGTCATTCTCCCCCCCTCACCATCTGCGTACATTGATGACACAGTAATAGCATATGGTGTGTCAGGCTGCAGCTTCTGTATCACCACACTGTTCTGTCGTCCCCCAACAGTAGTCTGCAGCAAAATAAAAGGAAAATATTAAAATCCCTTTTATACTCTCTATTTTGTGCTTATTGCTACAGTAAACACAAGCATTTGATGCAGAGTGGAAAACACTGTGATGTGTTTTCCACACACAATGCTGCAATTTTCTTCTGACTGACACTGGCAGTAGACATTGAACAGTAGTAATATTTAGTACATATTGGTTTTAGCAAGTTTAGACACAAAGCCACTATTCTTTAAAATCTCCAAACTTGAATACCACTACAATTATATATAAACTCCCAGTTCTGTACCAGCACAAATTATATTGCAACTGCTATCATTCTTTGTACTTTTAAGACTATCTGCACATTTTCAAAGCCTGTTCAGCTAAGGTGTTTGGCATAACACTTCCAGTCATCTGCTGATGAAATGACAACAAGCAAGCATTTACACATCTTTACATTTCATAGCAGTAGATTATTTTAATTTACAAGCAGACTATTTTAACTTACGATCAAAGGGGTTTTTTGTACTCAAGTGTACAAAGCTCCTTTCAAAGCACAAATGCTTCTATCATCCCATCATGGCTGCCTCTACATTTTAGTATCTGATTGCCTTTCAAAACCTGACCCTAAATGGTCATGATGGTCTCAGCAGTTCTGTGTGCAGTTTTTTCAGACCTTTTTTTTTTGTCTTCAGATCACCTGTGATTCCTCTTGGTGCTGAGGCCATTAAAAGTCAGACAGGACAATAAAAACCTCCCAGAAATTATATTTTAAATATTTTGGTGTGGACTATTCTACTGCCTACCCAGCACCTACAGTTTAATAAAATATCAGAGTAGCAAAAGAAGACAAGGAATTATGATCGTATGACTGCAAGTCATTTGCAAAGAGATATTAAATGCTGTGAGCAAAGTAGGAGAGTTCTGTGTGCTCTCCTCAAATAGAGGTGTTTTCTCCAACTGCCACTGCTTGACTCTATTCCAGCTGTAAGCAATCAAGTCTATTAACCATATTCTTTGCACGGATTTCAAGAGAATGATCATAATTCCCTTTTTACTCCACTGCCAGCAATTAATTACAGATGTTAATTAAACTTATTGCTGTTCCTTATTACTCTAGTGATTTCTCACTAAAATAGTGTTTGACTGCTCAATATACATTTCAATTACCTCAACCCAAATGCATGTTGTTCAGAAGAGAGTTAAAATGGGTGTGTAAATATCCAACTGATTCTAAAGTAAATATTCCTAGATATACTTCTGAACATGAGTGATCTCCAATTACAGAGGCGAGCTGAATGAATGTGGTTCTCATCTGAGACCGTTCCTCTGACTCATTTTAAAGTAACCACAACAGCCTCCCACTAAAGAACAGGGCATTTTTAAGTAGCACACATTTCTGATAAACAGCCTGACTGAATTACCACTCCCAGGCTGTGTTGCATAGACTGCCAGTAGCCAAAACCATTTGTGCTGACAACACAAGGAAAGCTGGCTGATCTTAAAGTACTGTCTCTCCATAGCATTATAGCTTCTCATCATAGTAAAAGAATCTAAAATACCTTAAATACTTCATTAGCACATGTTTTGCATGTATTTCTCTTTACAACTGCTACCTCTGTGTGTTTATTCTGACCCTAGAGTGGTGAGAGAGAGTCTCAACTGTTCACAGCATGTTCCATGGCAAAGTCTTCTGGTAACATGGGAACTACACTATGAAAATGATGGAAAACTCTGGACTATGAAAGTAGTCATGGTAGCTCATATTATTGATTGTCCTGACACCTCTGTCTGTGACTTGTAGCCTTAGATGCTGATTGACTTATTCCTCAACGCACTTTATTTTAGTTTTATCCATAGATAAACAGCTGGAGTTTATGAACTCAAAGATCTTTTCCAACCTGAATGTATCTATGATTATATGATTTTTTGAGATAACAGGATGCATCCAAAATTATTGCTGCTCAACTAAGAGTGCTCTAACTTGGATTTGAAAGGGGAGAAAAAATCAGTGGGAATATACACTTATTCACTACAAATATAAATCTTCAAGTGAAAGATAATTAATATGTACAGCGTTGTGTTTTGAAAATAAATTATTTCAATGGATTACTTTACAGAAGTTTGCATTTAAGGCTGAATAATTTAAGCACTTCAAAATTAGTTACCGACTGTTCAGGGCCATCCCCACTGATAGGCTGGTAAATGATCCTGTATCTCTGCACTCGACCACTGGCAGGATCCCATTTGACAGTCAAGCTGTGTGAAGTTGCATTGTAGACCTGAAGGTTTCGTGGGCCACTCTTTGGGGCTGAGAAGCATAATAAAGAAAGGAATAAATATGTAGCTCACCAAAGAGCAGAGACAAACACTTCATTCTTACTTTTAGGGCTGCATGAATGCCTGATCAAGAGCTGAATGTATTAAGTACAGGGGAACATAAACTGTAATGTTTGTAAAATAATAAACATGTGGTAATCTAGTGTTTAGTATTCTTCCAAATACACAATAATATTTATTAAATGATCTCAGCTTTTTAATGTCAACATTCATCAAAGTTTAGAAAAAAGAAGCTATGAGTTTCCTTCAATAAAATGGTACCTGGAAATTCAGATTCTTACCTTGTGTAGTGATAGGTACCAAGGGTACTAGGAAAAAAGTAGAAAGAATTTTCAGAATTCTTGTATGTGTATGCCTTCTGTTTCAATAACTATGAATAACAACATGCAGAATCCCTTTATTTACTTACATGTTCTTTCACTGCCAATGAGCTCATCACTTTCTGATTCATCAGGATAAATGGCAGTAACTGAGACATCATATAATGTGTCTGGATTCAAATTTTCAAAGACCAAACTATTCTCTTCCCCATTTAAGATAGTCTTGTGAAGAAATTATAAAAAAAAAAAGGAAAATATAAATAAACAAAACCAAAACATACAAATGAAACAGGCAAACAGAGTGAGATATAACTGAGTTTTTACTCAGTAACATCACTGAACATGCTCTAAGTATGTGTTCTACATCTTCTCACTGAATTTCCAAGTTACAGACGATTTATCAATACATTTCTGAGTTGAAAAATACACCCTCTGAGGTATTTGCCCACAAATACATAAGGTGGCTGTCTATTCTTACCTCCTGTTTTTCTCCTCTTCCATAGGGCCCCCAAGTTATTCTATACAGAGAGACATCTGGAGCTCCATGATCCCAAGTACCTCTGAAACTATTCGTGGTTATATCTGTGATTCTGAGATTGACTGGTGCTGGCACAGGCTCTATTATGAGAAAAGGAAAAATGTTCCACAAAATGTAACTACAAAATAAATACAGTTAAACAAAAGAATTACTCAGACAAATAATTTAGAAGATTATGTAGAAGATTCATCTCTCAGCTGCCATGCTTCTAATGACTACAGTCAAACACTGTAGTATTACCCAGTCCACTTACACTAAGCAAATTATCCCTCATAAGGTCACATCATTAGGTCATTGTCTTATAAACCAGACCTCAGCAGAGGCCAAAACTCACAGGCCTACTCAAAACAACTGAAGCCCAGGCTGTTACATTTTGGAGTTATATGGAGTGAATGTGAGCTCCTATAAAGACAGGTCAAGTTCCCTGCAGGAGTTTCTCACAAATCTTAAAATTCTTTCTATAAGCCAAATAAGTCGCCACTTACTTAGAAAGAATTCACTGAGGTTATCTGAAGGTTAAGGAGGGAAAATATTATAGCCACTGGGAAGAAATATGTAAATAGGTAGAACCAGAGAATTAAACTTGAAATAATTTCTTTGGCAGACCTTTCCTCTTCTTTCCTTACAAACACATTCACACAAAACCACAGGTACAGAGCAAAGACTAGCACAACAGCAAGCAGGAAATCTCACAAGCATTTTTATGCACATCAGACTACCAAATGAAAATATTAATGGGTTTTTTCTTCTTTTTCATACCAGATGGAGAGGCAGTGAAAAGGCAAAATTACTCTTTTCTGTTGTAGGTTTTCTGGCTAACTAAATTCTTAAATCCTAAGCTTTGATCAGGATGAGAACTTCCTTGATAGCTGCTTTCTCCTTTCAGTCTGGCACATATCTTGTATGGAGATCAGCTCTTATAGCTTGTGCAGCCCCATTTCCTTGCCTCTATTTGTTGAGGTTATTCAAATTCCACCTTTATGATTCTCTAAAAGTAAAGGCTGCTTTAGTATCCCATGATGCAAAAACTCTCTTGGATCAGAGGCAGGGTCATGTCTCTCTAATCTTCCAGTATATGGCCCAGCTTCTTACTCACTTGCCTAGATTTCTGCAAAGACCTGCTAAACCTTTCCTCTGTTCTCATATTTTCTTATGGATTCTACACCTACAATTCTCCTTCAGTCTTTAAATAGAAATAGTTTTGCTTCAGTGGCTCTTCACCTCTCTGCAGACTGCAATATCAGTGTTCACTGCAGTAAGACAAGTCATCTAAGATTTCTGCAGTTTATTATATGGCAAATAATGCTACAAGTGCAAATAAAGTATTTCTCAGATTAAATTAGAGCTTCACCTAAACTCAATAACATATTGCAACACACACCATTTAAATCAAACATAAGACAAAAACAACCACAAGAATTATTATTAGGAAAACTTACGAGTGACAGCTTCTGCAGTTGTTGGTATGGATTCCCCTTCATCATATACAGCAACAACTTTTACATTGTACAGCGATTGGGAGGAAAGGTCAGAGAGAGTAATGCTTGTTTTGAGTCTGTCAAGCTCCACCTAAGAATAAAAACAGTGACTTAAAGGATTGTAAATTGCTCTCTTTCTTACTCTACATTTACTCTAATGGCAGAATTTCCTGCACTGAAAAACAAAGTATTCTGCACTACATTTTACCATTTGCCCTTAAATTTACACTTAACACTGAGAGTTCTCTACTAATTCCTTTGCAAAACATATTATATCAGATACACATAGTCCTTGTGGATCATTCACTGCTTTATTCCTCTGGAAACAAGGATGCAGACTGAACCTTTGGAAAATTCTGGTTCCTTTAAAAAACAAATTTAATTCTCCAAGAGCTGGTTTATGCCTAGCAGCACAATTAAAGTAAACTTGTACATAACTAGAAGACATCTCTAACAATGCTCACTCATGTTCTGTCAGGCAAAGAGGCTAACATACCTTTATTCCACTATCCTGTCCCCTTAATTGTAAGCTATTCTTAGACCTTGGTAGTATGACATTTAAGGAGAGCTTAGAAATGGCTATTTACCAAAACACATGAAAATTCTCCAGTCAGTTTAAGGATTTTTTCCTCCCTGGAGGAAGTGGAGGAGGAAGAAGGGAGTACCCAAGAAATCTATCTTGAGCTCATTCAGTTTCGAAGAAATCCATACACTTTCTTGACTGCAATCACTATGAACTGATGTACTTTACTCTCACTGGTGAGTTATAATACTGCCTTTACTGTTATTTTAGTAATCCAGCTTCTCAAAATAAAACTTTCCAAGTACTTTAAAAAATTTACCTCCTTTACATCAGCATCATCAGCTATTTTATATCTTAGGATGTATTTTCGAACTTTTCCTGGGGCAGCATCCCAAACAACATTCATGGTGCTGTGAGTAACATCCTGAATTTTTAAACCTCTGGGTCCAGGCAAAGGTACTGTAAAAAAAATGGCAGTAGTCAGTGAATGTTATTCATAGCAGAGGTACAGATCTCTTTTAGATGGAAGTGAATTCTCCTCGTCTTTCAGTTAAAGTCTTTTCAGTGAATGGAAGCAACCACTTTCTGACAAGTTGATTGTCCTGGGCATTAGATAAGAGAGTTCAGAAGCTTATTTTCCCAGCAATGAGCAAAATAGCTATAAACTATGGTAGTTTCACCTTTGTAACTTATGAGCGCAATACTTCCAGAGGTATCAGGGATTAAGACCATAACATTTGGTGACAATAGCCAATTTTCATCTACAGTCAATGGTTTAAAATTTTTGAGAACATAAAAGTAGCCATGCTGCATGCATCTAGACCAGAAGCATGCCTTTGCCAATAGGAAATGTTTAAGGAAAGGTATAAAAAAGGAAACCGTTGTTAGATCTATGTTTTTCTTGATACAGCATGCTGCTTTAGTATTCTCTATGTTTAAGAGGATGTCTGAATTAGGGAACAAGGTTTCTAAATTAATACAAGCAAAACTGAAACGTTTTAAAAACACTGTGATCTCAAGATTTCCTTCTTTATTCAAGTTAAAAATTATATTGTTCCCCTTTTAGTAGCTGGACCCTTCTCAATGAAATTGCCTTTGAGGCCTTCAGGAAATATGTAAGTGTTAGAAAATACATAAAACATGGTTAACATGGTCTTCTACATTAAACAGATTATAGAAAAACTGTTGCATGAAATTAAAATTAGGTGTTGCTGAAGCAATAACAAAGCAAAAATCAAGATGTCCATACATGTCACTTCCTGTGTGGTGAGTGGGTCACTCTGCATATCACCAAACAATACGTAAGCTGTTAAAGTGTACTCGGTGTTGGGGATGAGATCTACCAGCTGCACCTCGTTCACTGACGGTCCCACACGCATCTGCGCATGAAAAATAACACACCATGTTTAAAAACTGAAGAAAGCAACGGCAGAAAAGCAAACAATGATTTAACTTCAAGGGAATTTTGTTTGTGAGATTCACAGTATATTTACAGTTTCCTGACTGATGTCATTGTATATAATATCCCAGTAAGTTCACTGCACTTCAAGACGTGCATGCCAGTCTTTTGACTATTATGATAGTCTAACATTTTTTCTTAATTTATTTTTGGTAGAGAACAGGTAGCAAAGACAAATTCTCTTACCTCTTTCTCTGTGGCTGGGACTGTGGCATTCACAGGTTCATATGTTAACAAATAGCCAGTAGCCCCATTGAGAGGTTCCCATCTCACTCGCATGTAAGTTGATCCAATGTCATAGACATTCAGGTTTCTAACTGAGGAGATTGGTACTGTCAAATAAAAAATACATATTAGTTTATTTCATTCAGCTTCTTAATATTTTATATCACAATTCATACCACTGAGAATATTGCACATGCATATTAGGGCATGTTATGGGTAGTAGAGAGGCGACTTGCAAACAGTGGTATTTAAATCCTTAGTTTAAGAATGAGGTAATGGTAATACTGTTTTGAATGTGGCCACAGATTTTTTACATACACAGCTAAAACTCTTACAGATCAGCACTGGAACATTTTAATCTTGTAAAAAGCACATTAACTCATTTTATTCAAAATTTAACATTGAAAATTCTAATATGAAACAACATGACTGGCTTGGGATCTGTATAAAGAGGATTTTTGTCCTCTCTTTTTGTTTTCTATATTTCTCAAATTACTAAAAAAATGAAAAGTTTCCATGAAACCAGACTTCATAAAAATTATATACATTTTAAGGATTTTTTGACAAGCCTAATACAAAATTAAGAAGTGAAATGAACATCAGACATTCAATATTATTAAAGAGGCAGAAGAGTCATTCTATGTTGCATACAGCATAAATGTGCCGGAAATCCACGTAGACAGCTCATAGGAGAAACATAGCTGAGTTACAACTCATAGGAGTGGCATAATTGTGTTTAATTAGCTTTTGCTAATTAGAAATAATTCTGTCTGGCAGTAGCAGGAATTAATTATGTAGCATAAACAATTTGGTTTTTATCAGATTTCCGGAATTTATAAACTTAGTCTTGTAATTCATGTCTGTCGTTCCAGTTTTGTACAGCCATGCTTTATGAGCCTAGAAAGCAGCTGGGACTAATATTTTCTACCACACTGTAGATTCACTTTGCTGAAGTCTTCAAGACAACAAGGTCTGGACAACCAGAGTAACACAATACAGTTTGGTAACTCAAATTAAATATTTTACTTCTGCTAAGAAGAAAATCCCTAGTGCTGAAAGTTCTACTGGACAGCTCCCCAGGTGCCAAACTGGCTGTTAACATGTTATTCAAGACCCATTTCTAACTTACAAGTTGTTTCCCTGCCGATCAGAGGTTCACTGCTTTCATCTTCTACCACAGAAAACACGTTAACCACATATTCTGTTTCAGGTTGCAGATCTTTCAGAACTGTTGTTCTTTCCATCCTACTTACATAAAACTGAAAGAGAAGCAATGTTAATCACTGTAAGAAAAATATTTTTGTAATTTTATCTCTAAGAAAAGCAATCATTCCTTGTGAAACTGCAGGAATCAATGACAAGGAGATAAGTCTGCTCCTAATTTTGTATACATTTTGTCTGACAATATAGCATTATTTTTGCAAAGCAAGCTGTAGGGAATCTCAGACAGACACTTGATTCAAATTGCATTGGATCTGCTTAGCATCTCTTAGAGTGCATTCTGATTTCACACATGGTTTACACTTCTACATCACTAAAGAACATAAAAAGAGGATCAGGAAAAAGGGGCCAGTTTGGGAAAAAATTCAAAATCTGGGATAATCTAGGATAATCTAGATGGTTACAGCACAAGGCACTGGAAACACCTTGTAGAACAGAAATACCTGACAGAAGTCAAATTGTAAAGTCCGTTTGCACTGGAACAACAGCTCAAACTTTAATCAAAGGTCAAATCTTGAACTCTCCATGAGCCATATATAAGATTTAAAGCCACAATTAGAGATGGGACATTCCGAGCTAGGTACACAGCGGCACCTAACTACATTCTTCTAAACACTTCATATTCCTAGATACTATTCTGTTTGGTCAAAGACAGTAATGAGCATTTCAGATTTCCCAGGACCAAGAGTTGCCAACCACTGGCTTTCTGTGTAGAGAAGCAGTAACCACAAGTTTCATCCTGTGCAGTAAACAGTTTGGAGTCATATAATGTTAATCTGAGCACTTCTTACAACCTGTGCCCCCTACTGTCTTGTTCTCTGCAAAGAAGAAAATGCATTAAAAGGACAGGGGGCCTACACACGAGTATGATCAGAAAATTTCTGGTGCAGACATATTTGAACTAATATATGACAGTGGAATATGAAAATAAAGGAGTGACTAGAAATAGAAGACAACTCTTTATAAGAAATATATTTTATGACTGGATTCATGGCATTAAAACAACCACGGTAATATATATGCTCCTGTTTTTTGTAATTTTGCATAACATTTACCAAGGCATTATATTCTTGACCTTAGGAGCATTTTTAAGTTGCTTTTACACCCTACTCAGCACAAATTCAGAATGATATTACCGTGATGTGGAAGTTCAAAGTTATACTGGGCATTGTAAAAGATGAACATACAATACTAACCTGTTTAGGGCTACCTCCAGAGGTAGGATAATATTCAACTCTGTATCTATCAACACTCTCAGGAGGTGGGCTCCATCTCAGTCTGAAAGAACGAGGTGTCACTTCTGAAATAACTAAATTTGAAGGAGGTGGCAAATCACCTGCAAGAGGGAAGCAAATTAAAAAGATACTCATTTATCTTGTCAGAAAGGGAAAAAACCACTTTGTGTACTTGCTTATATTTATTTTTCCTCAGGAATTCTTAAAACAACTGCATGAAGAGATAGCTCATATTAACCCACTCAAGATTAAACAAGTTCCCTGTAATTCCTGTTTACCACTTCAGCACCAGTGTTTCACTGAAGAACCATCAGCTAACATTACATACATGCTTTTTCATGCTCAGCTTTGGTTTTGGGCTGTCAGACATTAATACTTGAAAAGAGCAGGGCTGCTAAAATTTTCCTCATTGAATGAGTATCATCAAAAAACATGCCACAATGAATAAAAAGCTGACACACTAAGATACTTCATGATTCTGGGGAGAAAAAGAAGGCACATCCAGCAATGTCATGCTGTGTTAGTTACAACACAGTCACTGTTGGAAGGAAAGGAAGGAGCCCTGCAGGGTAGTCCAGGTGGTCTGCACTACTTCCGCACACCAGCAGCTGAAAAAACAGCCCACAGCTAGCACAGTGTTCCCAATAAGTAGTAAAAAGGAACTAGCAGTGCAAGCACATAAATGGATAAAGAATGAAATAGACTGAAAATGTGACGTACCTGGACCTTTCACACTGTTACACAGATTCGTGGTTACATTATCAACAATGGTAGCCAGGAAGGAGAAGTCTGCAACATTGTAGGCATGGATGTCATCTGGATCTGTTGCAATTTGCTTCAATTCATTTTCATCTGCATTTTTAATACCTTAAAAGAGAAGAAGCAAAAACCTGTTAGAAATTATGGCCAGGAAGCACAATAACATGCAATTAAGTCCCTAAACACATTCTTCAAATAACCTTTCATGTACTCATGTATGTGGCCACTTCCCTGTGGGTTTAGCAGATGAGCATGGGGGGTTGCTGCAGGCCATGCCTTCATGGAGTACTTACCAATTGCATACAGTTCCACTCCCTCATCTCTGAGTTTTCTTGAAGGGGCAACTACATCATCTTGTGATTTGCCATCAGTGATGAGAACACCAATTTTGCGAGCTCTTGGCCTTAAGCCAGCAACTGGCTTGAAGTTGTTTTTTAGGATGAAATCCAAGGCCATTCCTAGCATGACACAAAGAAAGTACCCATCACTGTAAACTGTTTGCATATAATAGTCATAGTAAAAGAAATTAGTGCATTCTAGTGACTTCATTCTGACAACATAGTTCCACTGTTTATTTCCTTATAGAAGCATTTTGAATCTAATTGCAGCCCATCATCTAGATCTGAGCAACTGATACTATTCAGGTGCTCTCTTACCTGGTGTTGATCACCCTCCTGACTTCCACTACCCCTCTTTTGGTTCCTGGTTGTCTTCATCCCAACCCTGAAATGGAACTGACCTTTCTTCTTTTCATAGGCTCAACAGCAACACAAGCTCTTCATCACCCAAAACCTCTTCTAACACATTTCCCCTGAGTTTATTAGCCTATGCTGTACCTCTTCTTTTCCAACCATACTGGACTGAACGGTTAAGTCCTTTTCATCTTAGACGCATTTGAGTTCACAGAACAAAATCAGGGTCAGCTACTAGAATAATTTTCATTGGAGCTAAAGTAAAATCCTAGCACTGTGACATACCTGTTAGAGTATTGCCTCCTTTATATGGTAAGTTGGCTACAGCCTCTAACAAAGACTGTTTGGTTCGGTAAGCATTGAGATTCCATTCTGTCCTGGGATCACCACTATACTGTGCAAGACCTGGGAAAAAAGCCACCATTTACTCAGTCATTATGTGTCTCTGTAGCAGTTATGCTCCATTTTCCCTCCAACATATGAGAACTTACCAATCTGCACTTTGTCAGGACCAATATCAAAAACTTCAACAATACGGGCAATGAAGTTCCTGATGGTTTTAAAATTTGGCCTCCCGATACTCCATGAGCCATCCACCAGCAGCACAATATCAGCTTCTGCTCTGGTTCTACATTCTAAACCTGCCGTGTCAACCAGAAAAATATAGCCTTAGCATGATGGCTTTCTTTCCCCATCCTTTTAGATGACATATGTCATTAGTTAGCTTCCAAAATAGCTCTAGTTTTATTCACTGGCACTCCGTCAAGTATGACCTATTTGAGAGCATTATTCACACTAGTCAGTGGTTCCATGGCAAAAGCTGTCTAAATTCCTTCATGTATGTTTCCTTTTAAAAATAAGCCTTTGCAAATGTCAAGGCTGTGTTCTCTATTGTCATGTCATTGTCTGTTTTGGCCTTTAAATATGGCTGATCACTTGATTTCAGAAGTTTTGTACAAGACTACTAAACGAACCACTGATATTGCAGTTAGCACTATTAGATTATACAATTTTATGGTATTTTAGTCTGTCGCATATAGCTAAATTACTGATTAATTTTCAACCATGTAATAGTGGGATTAACAGTATGTATTACAATCACTTTCACATAAATAGCATTCCTCAATTTTCAGGGGAAAAAGACATAATAATATGTGTGGTATAGAAGTTTGCATGTACAGAAAAGAAAGAGCACAATTCAGAGAAGACACACAAACATAAACACAGGTCAAGAGATACAGAGGGAACAAGAACAAACATTCATATAAAGCTGCAATAATCTCTAAAGGTAGGAAGTTATTTCAGATATCTTCAGTTTACAAATTACAAAATAAAATATGCATCATATTGTTTTCATCACAAGGAAAATCACAAAATATTTATACAAAACAGAAAGAGACACAATAATTTTATCCACAGCCATTTGCAAAAAAAAAAAAAAAAAAGCCAAAATCCTTTCTCTCTTTTTTCCTGTAGATTCTGTTACCAGCTGCAATTTTTCTGGATTCCTGCCATCAGAGCTTCTGGTCTTTATATGGAAGAAATCCCATTGAGAAAAATCATCCACACTCATCACAGTTGAAAGATATTGTGATTTCATATATGTTCCACAGAATTGATCCAACACTGTAGACTCATGAATATAACTATTCCATGTACCTGGGGGTTAAAAGCATGATCCTCTTCTGCACAGAAAATATAGATCTAGTCTTTAGTCAGGACAATAAAATCAGTTGGGAGTAGGGTTTAAGTCAAACCATGTTAGTTCAAAAAATTGCATGCATAACTTTTATATGAAAGTTAAAGTTAACTTTATGTACAATTAAAAAGTTAATCTATTTTGACTTTTATGTTTCTTTCAATATATTATAGTCCCCCACATGGAAAATTCTAGTAAATGTGCCAGATCTAGGGTGATTTTCCCCCCATTAATAAATAATTTACTGTTACATTTGCTGTCCAAGATATAAATTCGTTTTTCACATTAACCATTTCTCAAATCCATGCATTAATAAAACTAATTAGCTTAAAGAGTACAACACTGAAAACAGAAATGAGAGCTACTATAATGAAAAATAACAAACCACTCTTTGTGCAATTTTTTGTTGCCAGCCTTATGAAAGCTTTAGTCTAATGCCTCTCCTGGCCTGTTTTAGGGGTTTTTTTCAGTTTACCCTCATTATTAGATAGAGTAGGACAATTATTTAGGAAGTTTCTAAATATGTTTCAATAAAGTCATATACAAGATGATTATTTTTTACACAGCCCAATGTGAGCTAAGCAAAAACAGTATAGTCAGCTCTCAGAAACCTCTTTTTCTTTATTTAACTCTGAAAGGACTTTGCAGTTAGGTTCTTTCTCCTCACAAAATTCTCTCTGATGTTTATCCAAGCATTGAAATGGCAGAGGAGAAAAGGCTTTACTTATTCATGTATACTTGTCTATTCAGAAGCAGACCTGCTTTTTTATGCTTTCCATGAAGGACTGAGCCCTGAAACCTTCTTCAGCTGGTAGAATTGAGAGTATGGTGAGCACAAATATTAACAGAGGCCTGTTAAGCACACCAAAGGGAGGTAAATATCATAAAAGTCAAAGAAGTCTTGAAAGAAAGGTTTACTAGCTACAGGTTTACTAGTGAGAAGCTCCCAGAGATACTGGTGAGCACTCTGCAATTGCCTCTGTGAAAAAGTCTCCTCCTATGATAGAAAAAAGAACCAAAAGACTAAACAATGACTATGTTGAATATAAACTTAAATAATATGCATTAACACTAGGACGTTCCAAACTATCAGATGTTTGTTCATTATATCATCTTCATCTTAAAAGTTACCATATAAGGACAAGAAAAGGGCCAACAATCTGCTTAAAATTCCTTGTTCTACTCCTGTGAAGACCCCTGTAGATGAGCCATGATCTCTGTTCAAAAATTTGACCTTATGTGATCTAACACAGATGTGGAAAGCTTGAAAATGCAATGCAGATGGCTTTGAATAATCAGCAAAACACAGGCTGCCTGCATTATCATCTTTGTAAGATCATCTCGAGGGTGCAGAGGACTAGAACTGTGAACTGGGTCATGCTTTGTGGTCATTTCAGAACAGGGTTTATGTCATCAGGGAGGGGAATATAATGAATCCTGTAAACAAGTATGTGCATTAGAAAAACAAAAACGAAATGTAGTAAACTTTTTTATCCTTTTTTTTTTATCCAAAATACAAGACTGCCTTTTCTTCAATTCAGTCATGTTTACCTCTAGATAAAAATGGCTCCGTAGTAGTATCTGAAAGGGTGGTCATCTCTTGTCCAACCAGAGGGTTGCTCTCTCCTCCTTCAAACATCCCAAAAACATTTACCTTATAAGTAGTTCCTGCCCTGAAATAGTCAAAGAAGTGTACTTTAACTAAAGTCATTTGGTTAGTAAAATGCTAAACAGTTCACTTATTAAATTCTTACTGAAAAAAAAATACCTAATGGAAAAGAAGGTGCTAAAACTTGAAGCCCAAATACTGGCTCTTCCACAAGACATTGATGTTTCAACATTTCAAAAGCTGATTTTACACTCTATAGTTAAATTTATAGCCTTCCTCATTCAAATTATTTAATTCTGTGAAGACAAATTTTCCAGGCAGCCAGAGATCAGGTTAAAAAAGCTAAAGACCTGATTGAATTAAAATCAGGCCAGGAACATCAAGGACAACAAGCAAAGTTTTTATGGTACATTGATGATAAAAGGAAGACTAGGGAGAAAATGGGCCTCCTCCAGAAGAAAACAGGAGACCTGGTTACCTGGGATATAGAGAAGGCTGAGGTGCTGAATTATATTTTTGCCTCAGTTTTCACTGGAAAGTGCTCCAGCCACACTGCTGGAAGGTCACAGAGGGCGAATTAAGGGACTGGGAGTGATGCCTGGGCTGCATCACAGGAAGCAACCAGCAGGCCAAGAGAGTTGATTCTCACCCTCTATTCTGCTCATGTGAAGCCCCACCTGAAGTACAGGGTCCAGCTCTGGAGCCACCAATATAAGAAGAGCTTGGACCTCTTGAAAGAGTCCAGAAGAAGATCGAAAAATGATCAGAGAGATGGAATACTTATCCTGTGAAGACAGGCTGAGAGTTGGGGTTGTTCAGCATAGAGAAGAGAAGGGTCTGGGGAGATCTTATGGTAGGATTCCAGCGCCTAAAGGGAGCCTAAGGAAGGTTGGAGAGGCACTTCTGACATGGGCATGTAGAACAGAGAGTAATGGCTTTAAACTGAGACTAGGTTTAGATCAGATATTAGGAAGATGCTCTTTACTGTGAGGGTGGTGTGACACTTGAACAGGTGACTCAGAGAAGTTGTGGGTGTCCCATCCCAGGGAATGAAGGCCAGGTTGGATGGCAACCAGATCTACTGGAAGGTGCCCACAGCAATGAGGTTTGAACTAGATGATCTCTAAGGTTACTTTCAACCCAAACCGTTCTATGACTGTATGATTCTTTGACTTAATGATCCCATTTAAATTATATTTAGTATACTTGCCTAACAGATTTTGACTTGGTGGGAAGCCTGCTTTAAAAATCTAAGCCTCTGAGAAAATGAATCAAGAGCTAAACTAAGCATCTTTTGAGAAACATGAGCCAAGAAACTTTTGAAAGTAAACTTTAGAAATCTCAAATATCCTTCATTATTCCATTATCTTTCTCATATGTGAAATACAGCTCCAGCCTATATATCTTTGCCTCCTTCAGTTCCTGTGAGAACACCACAAGTGATGTAAATGGATAATCTTAGAAAGAGACCTGCCAGGTACCTTTCAGAGATGGCATAACAGGATTTGCATAGCTAATTGACAAAATTACTTGCTTAACTTGGAGCAGATTTTACAAGGCGTTTCAATACCAGATCGCATTTAAACAAAATCCTACGCTAAAGTTATTTAAAGAAAACTGAACAAAGCAAAAAACCAATATGAGGGAGTATGCATACCTAAGCTCCTCCAATACCACTGTGCTGTCATAGGGCCCCACTATTAATTCTCCAAGGCTCCCATCATCTTCAGTGGGGTGGAAAGTTACTTTGTACCCCTTCACTCTCCCTGGGGCTGGCTCCCAGGTTACTCTGAAACTTGACATAGTTGAATCTGAAGTTCTCAGATTTCGAGGTGGCTTAAAGGGAGAGGCTGAAAGGGTGGGAAACAAAAGAGTTTAGATCAGGTCTACACATGGCAAAAAATCAACAAGTATGCTTTTAAGTATATATATATATATATATATATATATGTAAATCTAGTATTAGTGAGAGTCCTAAACTCCTTGTTCCTTTCTTTAGCAAAGACAAGTATTAAGAGATGAAAGATGAGATTCCTGACACTTACTTTTAGCTATCTAACCAGTAGGTATGTGGGCTAAGTCTATTTTTGAGGCTCCCTCTGCAGTCAATGGACTGAGGGATAAATTGTCTGGCAGCTAAAGCAACTTCACCAACCACAGGCGTGGCAGTGTGTCAAAAACCAATTCTTCTGAGGGGTGCCAGCCAAACATCTGGTCAAGGTTTTTAGGTCAAGAGCAACTTCCTCAGAAGACTAACAGCTGCCCACTGCAGGGCAGCACTCACAGACAATGGTTACAAGCTGTTGCTAGCTTCTGCATTTTGTGCAACTTTTGCTTGTGTGCAACTCTAAAGTGTAGTCATGGAAAATAATGCATCAGTGTAAGCTCAAAGTACAAAAAAAAATGGGAATTAGAGTAAACAAAAAACTACCACTATTGCCTTGGCCTGAAAGACAGAGGAAAAAACATTTGCCTTGTCCCTGGGCCTATGCCATTGTCTAGCTATAGCCAAAAGATCATAAATGTCCTCAAAATGTGAGTTCTGCTGAGAAACAGTAGATATACTCCTAACTCGCAAGGAAAAGTACAGATTCTCTGTCTCATCTCTCATCATACTCCCTGAATTATCATGATAGCTTCCACTAAAAAGATGACTCAGGCCTCACTTCCTTCCAAAGAGTGTTTACCACCACAGTTATTTAGACAGAAAGCAGAGACATATCTGTATCAAGATGAAAAGTTCAAAAATCAAAAGCAGCTGGATTATCTAAAATTTATCTCAGTATAATTTTCAGCATTAAACAACTACATATTGGTTAAGCGCTGCTCAAGTTTTTATGACTCCTTTATATCAAGCACATTTTAGGTTAAGAAGAAACCTTTCTTCAGTAATTGAGGTGCTGATATCTCCACTGTTAGGATACCTTTACCTTACTTCCTGTCATTCAATATAACGTATATTCAGTAAACAGAATGGCATGAACTATCTACAGAGTACCTCTGCAAATAGCACTAGTGTCACACAGGCAGAAACATCTTGAAAAAGTTAATAGCTTTCTCTTTAGTTAATAGCTTTCCATCTATGGAAATAGAAAACTGACACTAAATCTGATTGATCTGAACATCTAGAGAACATTTCCTTACAAAATATAAGACCAGCATCACATTCCGACTAAACGTAGAGTAGGAAATGAGTTTTGCTTTTTCCACAAAAATAACTTCACTGAGACTTAATAAACGTTTTAAAGTTTCAGTTTCTGAGGGAGAAGACAGCCAGTCCAAAAGACCATGAAGTCAGACTTCCACAGATGAATCTTCAAAATCATCTACTCCCCCTTTTTAGTAGCTTGGGTTTTCCACAGAAAATATGGTGACCAGAGAAGACAAACCTAAATAACAGGATGATGGGTAGCTATTTAATCAATACCCACAAGCAAAAGGCAAAATATGCAACAGCAGACAACATTTGATTAAGTAGCCTGTCTTCCTCACAAAACACCTTGTTTGAACTTCTGATGACAGCATTTCAAAACAATTCTAGTATTTTCAAACAGATTTTACACTGTACTTACACCTCTTAATATCAACAGCAAAAAGCTGTGCTCAGACTATGCCACAGTGAAATTTCAAACAAATCAAACTCTCTTCTCAACTTATAACATTTTCTTCAATTTTCCTGTCAATTCATGATCTTGGCAGACTCTGCCATGCTTTTCTATGTTTCCTGCTTATTAATTTTAAGCACAAAATTTGCATTATGAAATGCTGTACAACCTTGTGGTACATACCTGTTGTTCCTTCTCCTTTTCTTGATTTCCCGTGTCCAAAATCATAAATTGGAACAACAGTTATGTCGTACGTGGTGCGGGGCTTAAGTCGCTTGAGCACGATGCTGGTGGCGGGGGCATTTACTCTCCCAGACATTTGCCTGCCTCCGCTGCGTGCTCTGTAGTTCACACGGTAAGACAAGACTTTCCCAGGCGCAGGCTGCCACTTAACTCTCATTGTATTTTCCGTCTCGTTGTCTACTGTCAGAGTCCTGGCATTTGGTGACACTTTTCAGTGTAAAAATATGGATAAATTTTTACTTTTTCATGTACAGATATATTCAAACGCATGACTACAAAATTAGTACTGCTGTACTAAAAAATAAAATTGACCTTTTTAAAATTCCAGTATTTGATTGTGGGGAAGACACAGGGGAATCTCACAGGCCATTGCTAATTATTTTTTAATTGTGATGGACTAAACAACCAGATGTTTGGTTTTCACTACTGAGACAAAAAAGAGGGAAGTATAAATCACATGATGACACAGCTTGACACAGCATAACCGGGAGTTTTATTTAGTAATCTTTCTCATTAATCCATTAAATAACAGATTCAGCACTCTCAAATTGATAAATTATAAAGTCATTGATTTTCATTAACTCAATGTCCTATAGATTTTCTAAGTTTTGACTTCACAGGTCTGATAAGGTAGTGATGAATACCTAAACAGCTGGTTGTTGAACCCCATGCAAACTGTCCTTCAAATAGATGTGAGTGACTTTCCAAATGCTTGGAAAATCACTCATCACAACATAGCATATGTGCTGAAATAGGCCTTTGAACTAATAAAGCATTTTCTCAACAAATTGCAGCATTCAGCTTCTAAGAGATATTTTCCAGACTGTACAAATGGTATAAATAATCCCAAGTGAGCTGACAGGTATGAAATGCTGGCTGTCAGCCAAAATAAGCCATCTAGGCTTTGGCAAAACTGAACCCTCTTGGCATGGTGGAATCGGTCAGTATTTCAACACACAGTAAGATAGGCGTTGTAGCTCCTAGGAACTGACAATTTCTAATTGTGTGTATGCCAGAAAGATACAATAGTTTCAGGCTATTAGCCCCAGGTGTGGGGCTATTGGTAGGCCTAATGGCAAGTTCCCTCAGTCAGCACAGAGAGAGTCAGTACAAATGATGAGGCTAGCTACCCACCTAACCTGGAAAAGCTAGAACAGCCGGTGTTGCTGTGCTTGAACCAAGAAGGAAGCTGTGGCACAGCAGTCTGCTAGTCTGCTTTGACTCTGGGGAGTCAGCTCTCACTAACAGCAGCAACCACTACTCTTGCAAAACCTTGAGAACAACTGCTCTGGGTCAAGGACAAAGGTTAACGTAATTCAGCAGCCTGTCTCCAGCAGTAGCCAAAACAGATGCTTAGGACGGAGCACAAGAACATGTAAACACACATGATGCTTCCCCAGAGCCCTCCCTCAGGCTCTGTCTTTGCATGGCCCCTTTAGGCAAACAACAGGAATGTCAAGCCTTATCCAGGACATCCCTTCATTCATTCTGACTCCTTCACTTGCAGTTCCTGCTACAAAGAAACAAGCCATCCCTGGGTTCTGTGTTTTTTCACTTTGCCTACACTGCAGGAGAGGCTTGAGCGTCCTTTGACCAAATACAATATAATGGTTTGCAAATAAGAAAAAGAAGAGCCCCAGAAAGGTAACTAACAAACAACAAAATCACCCAGTGAGCCTCAGTTTGAGGACTGTGAAGATTGGAAGGGCAATAACTTGGAAAGAAAACTCATGGATTCTGTGGGAATGCACCCCATCTTTCCTCCTTGCTCTATCCATATTTCCTTCACCTGATTTTTAGCAATCACACCAAACCTATAACAGGCTGAATTCAGAGTAATATGCAGACCAAATCATATCTTAATTTGGAAGTAATTCTTGCTGAATCCAAACCTATATGAAATAGAAGAGATTTTTTTTTTTTTCGGTTTTTTAATAGTCCAACAAGATGTCAAAATTGGCTGAGCTGAGGTGGCATTTTGGTTTGGGGAAACTTTACATAAAAAATAAAAAAGAAAGGGGAAAAATAAGGTCCATTTTATTTTAAAATTATAATTTCATCAAAAACAGAATGTTAAAAATGGTGGTAATGTATTACACTTACCATCAGTAAAAGCCTCTCCTTCTACTGGGTCTCCTTCTCCACTGCTGTAGGCTGCATATACTGAAATCCTGTATTTAGTCTCTGGCTCCAAGCCTTCTATTACAGCATCCACTGTATTTCCTGGGACTCTCTTCTCTCCCACGGTATCATCATAATGTGATTTCCATACTATCCTGTAATGATTAACTGTTCCTGGAGCTGGTGTCCATGATAACCCAACTGTAGTGTCAGTTATGTCTGTGGTAACTAAATTACGTGGTGAACCACGTTCTGCAAGAAAGAAAACAGCAAATTCTCTCTTAAACACAAATAGCACAAGATAGCAAAGTACAAATGTAAAAGCCAAATGATCTTAAAAGCTAAACCAAACCTTTCCCATCAATATAATTTTCATGCGAGGGTAGTCCCAAGAGAAAACAGATGAAGGTTTCAACAAAATGCTTAAAGCTAACTTTAGACTATGAATGATCTTATCCCAACCATGTAAGATACTTAGCAGTCATGCTTTAGAATATGCAAAATAACAATGGCAGTATTCAAAGACCTGGAATGAAGCCAGTGCTTAAATGTGATGCAGCTCACTTAGGTAAATTTTAACTCTCAAAAAAATGATTTTGTTTCATTCATTCATTGTCATTGTTATGTGTGTACCTTTTTTCCAAGGGTTAAATAATGGAGACTTTTCACAGAATCACAGAATCTGTTGAGTTGGAAGGGACCCAGAAGGATCACCAACTACCAGGCCTGCACAGCACCATCCCCAGGAGTCACATCATGTTCCTGAGAGAATTGTCCAAACACTTCTCAAACTCTGTCAGGCTGGTGCTGTGACCACTGCCCTGGGAAGCCTGTTCCAGGGCCCAACCACCCTCTAGATGAAGAACCTTTTTCTAATATCCAACCTGAAAGTCCCCTAGCACAGCTTCAGGCCATTCTTTTGGTCCTGTCACTGGTCACCACAGAAAAGAGATCAGTGTCTGCTCCTGTCTTCCCTTTCATAGTCAACTTTCCACCAAAAAGGACTCCCAGGTCCCTTTCCATGGCACTGCTTTCCAGCATCTTATTCCCTGCTGTGTCTGAACATCCAGGGTTGCCCATCCCAGGTGCAGAATCCAGCACTTGCCCTTATTGAACTCCATATGCTTGATGATTGCCCAGGCCTCTAATAAGAGTACCTTCTCTGACAACTTTATTTGCTGATTTATTAGTACTAGTATATTCCAGAGTCCCACTTACCAGATCAGCTATTTCATTTTATGTTCACAACTAATTTGCATGTGTTTACATCATCCCACACTTACTGTAGAAAACACTCTCCATCTTTCCATTCATAAGACCTTTACCTCTTTCCTCCCTGTAGTTTGTTTCAGCCAAAGGGAACAAAGGAAGCAGCTCATTAGTCTGTGAAATCCAGTGTCAGATGGATATGTGAGTCTCCCCTAACACACCAGAGTAGTTCCTCTGCTTAAAAATTCAGGTCATTGGTCTAAAGTGGTGCAGTGAAAGGAGTGCCTCTGCTTAATATTCAATGTACATTTATAACATATGTTCAATTTTCCTCTTGCAATGGCTTGCTTTTGATAGCGGGAAAGGAGCATTGACTGGTGGATTTAGTGCAACAGCCTCATCATAGAAAAATCTGCAAAAGAGCTCTATGAAACCAGATCCACATAGACAGAGAAGTTCAGTTCTTTGGTGTGTATTCTCTGTGGGATTTCTCACTGTACAGGACATTCCTGAGTGGCTCCTGCTTAGCAAGAGGACTTAAACACTTGGGGTGACCTCATGGCATCACAGTTAAGTTTTACCCTCACTGATAAAAGTATGTCCTTATACTAATCCATAGCAGCCACAGGAGCAGAATCAAAATTCTTTGAACACAGAGGAATTCAATACTTATCCACTTTCCACTACTTAGACTCATTGCAAGAACAGACCTCACTACATTCAGAAGTCTGAAGCAGTTTCAGGCCGAGCAGCGAATTGCTCAAAGTCATAGTCTGAGTTTCCACTTTTCATATTCATTTGTCTTTTACTTCCACCACAATCTGCAACATTTCCAAACACAATCCCAGTGGAGCAGAAAATATTATCTGTAGAAAGTTTGACTTTGGAAACATCTCCTTGCTGGTGCAGCTTCATTAAAAGTGAGATAACTAATCCCACTTGACTTAATGATGAATAGAAATTAATGTCAACCTATCAGAGATTCTCCAGCTACACAGAATGCAGAATCAGAGAGTACCACAACAATGACAAAGATGACTCTCAAGTACACCTAACAGAACAAGTGTTGTGGGGGGGTTCTGATTTTAATTCAGTCTTAGGGACATTCCATCATGTTTTCTGGAGACAGTTCTTCTTCTGTCCTAACTCTGCATCAGTTCTTAAAATTGTACCCTTCAAACTGATTTTTCTAGCCGTGTAATATAAATTACCACCATTTATGGCATCTTCTCTTCAAATAAAGGTTAAGATACAGAGGGTTTGGTAAAGTTCAGTTAACATTTCCCAACAGTGATTGCATATCCTGAAAAAGTTATAGTGAAAAGGCCCAATTCAGCTCATGCTTCATGAAGTCTCACCAAATTCAGTGACTGCATTAAATGAAAGCCAGGGCAGAATCTTAGCTCCAAATAACAATTTTCCTGGAAGCCTGAAAAAAAGATTTACCCTCAAAAGTAAATTACAGCAATTTTTCTGTCTGCTCTTAAGCTCCTGCTCTCAAATCTTGGCTTTTTCATACAATAAAAAAATATTAAGGCAATCCAAATGGAAAAAATATGGAAAACCTAACTTGATAGAATGCACAGATGTCTCACAATAAAAACCTTTCTTTCCATATTTTAATGTAATATAAATATACAAGTCACTTTATTTTGGCTACTTTAAAACATAGCTCTGCCACAACATGATTTCAGTATTCAAGTATCTGCTACCACAGCACAATTTTTTGCAAGTCTACTCTTGGATACTACAGCTAATGATATATGTTGGAAATACTGCAAAAATAACTTCTTATTTAAAACCCTTATTGATTAAGTTATTATTGAGGTCATTAAATAACAGAGGAAAATAATTTGTTTGGAATGGATTATAATGAACAGCAGTTACTGTAATATGTTGGTTCTGAAAGAAATATTCTTTGGAACTAAATGTCTTTTTTATAAGTCAAGGTAAAAGAGGGAAAAGGAACTGGGATTTCTACCAAACCACTAGAACTAAATGGAAAATTTTTACTTCAAATAGTTGGAAACTGCTGACAAGACAACTTACCTACTAAGGGAAATTGGACATTTTATATGTTACACTGCAACTGAGAACATTTCTTCAACATAACACGCTAACTTGATCTGCACCTCACGTGTGAGGTGGAAGTTCACTCACAGCTTTTTTTCTGCTTCACTTGATCTCCCACAGTGGTTTATTTTTAATTTATTATTAGGAGAACACCTATGTTTAAGATTAAGTCAAACTGTAAGTCTTAAACTGTTTGGATTCCATGAAATATTATCAAAGCTGCTACACTCAGAGTCAAGAAACACGTTTATCCTCCACAGTAACAATGGTATAATGTGGCCACAAACAAACATACAATGAGACCTATGAAATATTCTTCTCTTGTATTAAAACAAAATACCTGGTTAGCTTGCTTATATGTCATGTACATGACATGCACAAAAACCTGAATACTTATTTTTATTCTTTGGTCAATGTGTTCAGAAATGTGGTCAATGTGTTCAGAAATGTTTGCTGAATATCCACTTCTTGCCTGCTTGTTTAAACAGGATGATTAAGGAGCATGGAAGGACAATGCACATCGTAAGAAAGAAAAGTGCTGGCTGGCTAGCAAAGGACTCCTGCTTTTTCTTGACTGGAAATGGAAGCTAATGTATGTTCATTACTTCATACAGCCCCCAAGACATCAGCAAACAAGGATTTTTTTATCTCAGAGCCCTTTTCACTGCCTACAGTCCCCTGTACAACTTTACCATCACTTAGAGCAGACACACTTTGAAAAATTCACTTGGTAACCTTCAGTCAGGTGCTTTTATACTCTGTTCTGTACTTCAGAAATGTCCAGTTTCCATATTAAGTTTTTCCACTGTAGTGTGCCAGAGACACAATAAAGCATTTCCCTCTGTCCACTTGGCTCACTTCCCGTAGCTCTCCAGCAATCACTGTTGTTATTGAACACAAGACTGAATCAGCTAAAATTAAAATGTTGACATTCATAAAAAACAAATGTCCTTATTCAAATGGCCTTTCCCCTCAGAGACATTTACACAACTCCAGCTGATCTCAGTGGGATTTTTACATGCAATTTGGGCCCAAATTTTAAACAGCTTTCTGCGTTTGTTTTTTTTAAAACCAGGTTTCAAAATCAATCTGCAGTGGTAAATTTTGTGCAGAGCTATGTTTCATTTCAGTTAAACATAGGATTTCTGTAAGCTAGCATCCTAAAATGTCAGAATCAACTAAATAAGCCTTCACTTGTAGAAATGTTCTGGCCTGAGTCCTGCCTTATTTACAATGGGCAAAAGTTCAGGAGTATCCCGTTGTGTCAGCAGGCTAGATTGCCACAGCCAAGGATCCAAGTGCATGCATCTGATAAGATGACAGCAGATAATCCTCTAGATAGTAGATAGCAGATGATACTCCAGTGGTCAAACTCTCCTCAGCACTGGGGGAGGCAACCACTTGGTGGGCTGATATCCCTCTCTCCAAGACAAAAAGTGGTTAGCAACCAGCCCTCAGGCAAGTAGAGAAGGGGTGTGGCTGTGGTGCAGAGGAAAGCCAAAGACTTACTACACACTCACATAACCCCATTAAACCAGATTTATTCTCTTCTGCAGAAAGGCAAGAAGGCCAACCAGGAGAGTTCTAACCCAAAACAATGGTTAGAGGACCTTTAGGCAGAGCACTCCCAAGTCCCTGATGTAGGATAATGCCAACAGGTGTTCACATTCAGTCTCTTTAATATTCTATGTCTTTTCCAAAAGTTATTCAGTTAATACTGTGAAGAAATATCTTCTTATTATTCACTCAATCTTCTCCCACTGGGGATTTTTTCTGATACATACTTTGTTTCCTAGAAAAACTAAGAGAGTTTTCCTCAGATTGTCCAGTCTGTTTCAAAGGTCACTCAAAAATCTTGGAATGTATAATTTTAAAAATGCATGATACAGCATTAAACCTCCTGAGGACACTGGGTCCTTGTTTCTGTCAGGGTGGAAGCAGCACTACGCTGTCTGACCATTACGTAAAGT